CAGAGACGTACAGTACTGATTTTACAGTGGTGTACAGTACTATGTGGACCTATCAGAGAGTGAGGAATATGACAGTGAAATAAGAAAAAGTGTTATTTCATTCTTTTGTAAAAAGGTCCTACATCACATCTAGGCTTATCACAGCACAGGATATTATTTAATAAAAATCATGTTTATCAAGGGAACAAAATTAAAAAAAAATTTAATGATTGCCACTTAACAATATTAAATATCTTTGATATATGATATATGACAGGCCGCATCAGACAAAAGGCGCAGTAGACTCGTGACTGACTAATAGCAAATTGATCTGATTAATGAATCGTCTTTGTTTGTCATCAAAACAAGTATTCATTTTTTCAAGGGAACCACAGGAAAGGAAGTTTGATAGCTTTTTATATGGAGTATAATAGTACTAAAGTAGTACAGAGGATATAACTTATATCTAGGTTTTATGTGAACTATGGCATCTGTAAGGCGGCCTTAAAGGGGCAACAAGGACTGTAGAGAAAAAATTTGAAATTTTTAATTTTTCTGAGCTATCAGGGCAACATTTGGCTTAATATCTTCTTTGACATACTTATTTTCTGAAAATGTATGGATAAACTATAAATTTCAGCATTAAGAAGTGAAAATTCAGTTCAAAGGTTCTATAAAGGGAGTCCCACTTATAGATTTTTAAGATTCACTACGATTCAAGAGGAATATCAGCTGAAATAATGTTAATCCAGGGGGTTTCTTTCAAGATAACAAAAAGAATGAAATATCCAAACTTCAATACATTTTTACACTGGTCCATGATCATAGAATGGCCCCTCTGCACTAATTGTTGCACCTTTAACTTCTAAAAATTGAGAGAAATATGCAGCATAAAATAAAGTAGGGATAAGCAGTATGATGTAGATGTTCTATACTGATTCTTTAAAGCTATGGTCGCCATATGCTTGCCATATAGAGCAAATATGACTGAGGCTTTTGTAAGTGAATAGAAAAATAAATTGCTCACATCATAAATTGAATATTTAGTTACCAGCTTGAATCTGCACCGCATGCATCAAAACAATTTGACTCCTTTGGGTTGACACAAGATCTTCTTCAATTACCTTATAAATTGTGTCTGGCTGCAATGGTCTGGCAGTGAGGGTCATGGAGTTTACAAAGTATATCTTGTGTATGACATTTCAGATGATATTTATCAAAATCACATTTGACTGTGTCAGTGCTGAAATAGTCACACAGGTATAGCATCATCACGGTGTTATAGCATGACGGTTACGTCAAGGCGATTTGCAAAATTTTGCGGTAACGATAACAAAAAATGGCAGATTGGAAAGACAGCATGTCCTCTTTCTCGCCTGTAGGCAAGATTCACAGATAAGATTTCTTTTTCAACTAGTTCCATTCGGTGACGTATATATGGATCTGCCAGGTGGTTTACTAGAAGCGGAATATAAGCTGTAAACTTACCGACTGAGATGTCCAAGTTCATATTTTTTAGTCCATTCTCGTGATTCCTCAGTATATGTGCCTCAGAGCCACTCAAACTATTAACAGTAAGTAAATTGCCTATAAACATGCCATAAAATGACAAATCCAGAACAGGAACGTGGTCATATTGTAAATAATAAGGTTTCAAACGCAATGTCGTTAGACGACTACGTATGAATTCTATGGACGGTAACGTATTGTATTAGATGTACATTAGATATTTAGCGGACAGTTACGTGCATGTACATCTTTCAAGTCAAGGTTGCTAGTTCTGATAGCCTCTTTCCATGTTATTGTTATATTGGGTAAGAAATGGAATATTGAATTGCTTATATTTGTTTTCAGGACTCGCAAGAGACGCTCTTGTTTGAGCCTCTATAGGGCAAGGAAAAAATTGTGTCTTGCTTTATTTATGAAACCAATTTAAGTAAAAAAGATAGCAATGAAGAGGCAAAAGAAGAATTAGCATCAAGTACTGATGAATATGACGAAATTAATAACAATGAATCTGAGATACATATTTGAACGAGGTTCGCGTAACCGTCAATCAATTAAAAATACAATATTATGGCTTATGTAGAACATATTAGGTGGTTTTCAATGCTCAATTGGCTTTTTATGATCGTATGTAGGTTACATCTATATACCCCGAGGTCGTTAGGCAATGTAGACCATGCCCTAACGACAAAAATAAACAAATTACTAAATTTTGTGTAGTTTTGAATTTCAAACTCAACAGTTTTTCGCTTATTTCATGTTATTCCTGGGCATCAATTTGCAAAGAATACGTCGAAAATATACATTACTAAATGCATCACTGAATGCGATGCCTACAAAAATCGTTCATCCTTTCATTGATACACAGTAGAAGAAAATAATGCACCAACCTTAGTTTTCTGTTCCATCGTGGCCATTTTTTGGGATAAATCAGTGATCGTAGTCGTCTAATCTCATTTTCAGAGGTGTCGTAACCGTCATGCTATAACACCGTGATCATTGAACAACTCAAATACTGGTTGGTTTGAATAATCAAAAATAATTTTGAACCATTTTTTAAGATTTTTATATTCCCATAACTTTGATATAAATGGACGCAGTCATATTAACTACAAACTGCTCTCTAACTTACTTAAACATGTTGGAGGGGTCATTAAATACAGAAATAAAATGTAAATGATCTAATTGATATGCTGATAAGCATTAGTTGAAAAATGTGATAGGACCTTTGGTCAGAGTTCTGATAGAATCAATTATTACGAAAATCTAATTATGTGTCAAACCGATGAAATATATCGTATTTTGTCCCTTTGGAATTTTATTTCCTGTTTCAGGGTTTGGGAAGAGCCATTTGATGTACAAGAGAAGACAGTGGCATGCTAATAATAAATAATGGTTTGTTTTTGAAATCTCCCACCAAATATAAATGGTCCTGCCCTGGAATTGTTTTTGGAGACACTGTTTGGCCAAGATGGTCATTTACACTGACAAATAATAATCTGTGAACACAACACACCCACGATAGTAAGTCATATTGATACTATGAATATAAAATAACTGTTCCAAAAGAAAATGAAATTCAAAAAGGACAAAAATTTTGGGGTTCTTAATCTGTAAAAGCTTTCAAGACCAAATGTCCCATCTTGTTTGGGGTCAAAGTGAGGGTGCATTAGATGCAAAAAATCCTGGTTTTATGTAAATCAAATTATCCATTGACCTTCCTGAAATTACACTGCAATTACAGTAAAACCTGTGCACTCAAACAGCTCCCCATACTGATGAGAACACCTATGACAATGTGAACACTTTTCATTCCAATATTTTATTCTATGAACCCTAATGTTAAAATCTATTTGATTGAACCATATCTAAAGTATGTACTTTTCGAATTTTTAGAAAATAGACATTATAAGGAACGATGAATAAAAAATAAAGTATTCTAAAATTGAAACAATTTTTGTTCAGGTTGTTCGATAGATCTGATACTACCTTTAATTTATAGTCTGATGTCTAGCAGTGCTTCAAAATGTTAAATAGATATCAAGAGGGGATTATCTATCTTAGTGTCATTTATTCCATTTCATCTACAATTCTACTGTAAATCTATCAAAAATATTTGGTACTGAAGAGGTGTTCATATTTTACAGCTCTGACAGCATCCCAGTCGGTGAGATATCTAAAATGGAAAATTTGGAAAAACGTGTTCACTCTTCTAATTTAGTTTAATTTAGAATATTTTAGGTATTCAAATCCAGGTCAAGTTTTACTACATTTTTATTTAATTATCAAAGGTATAAAACAAATAAAATGTGCCATTAATTATAATCCGCATATATTTCTAAATAAACATAAATAAACATTTTAATGTACATTCATAAAAATACTGTAATATCATGTAAAATCATGTACTAAAGGAAAGTGATTATATAATTTAAATATATCATATAGCTGCCTTTTACCTTCGGGATGTATTAATATCACATTAAGGCTAAAGTAGATAATTGGTATGTTTAACCATTTCCTCTCATATCTATTTTAGGACAGTCAAGCTATTTGTGTGTATGAATGTCTGCGTGGCTGTCTGTATAAATGTTACCTCTAGTGTGTTTAGGCGTCAACCCCTGTTCTCTCGAGTCAGATTGGCTGATGAAACAACCTTTTTTGAGGTTGTCATGTCGGCCAAACCACTAGAGCACCGAACACACTCAGCTACCTTGGTTGTCCGTTTATTATCTGTCAAACCCTGCTTGGGAAGGTTACATAATGGGTTGAAATCAAGGAGAGCTTATTTTTAATGGAGGCATGCATGATGAATTGAGGTAGAAACATTACCTATAAAAAAATACTAAAAACAAAGTATGACTGATAAGATACCTTAAACCTGTTAATACTGGTACATCTGAGTCAGATTGGCTGACGAACGACTTGTTTTGCGGTTGTAGAGATGGCAGAGCACTCTAGAGCACTGAATAGACTGAGCTAGGTGCTGTCACCGTAACCATGAGGTCGTGAGTTCAAGACGCAGCTCCTTGCATTTACTCATTTAATGATATTATTCCAGTAATTACATGTAAATTCAATTTTAATGAGTCGAACATTTAAACATATTTTGACAGAAATAAGTACATAAAGACACTTGCTTATTTTAGCAAATATTAGAACAGACAGAACCTCATCTTTCAACAAAACTTAATATTCGCTAAACATTAAGCTAAACACAGAATTAAGTTACTTTAGCCTAATGTGATTTTGAATGGACCCTCATATTTCCCAATGACGTAAAATGATTTCCAACTTTATTAGTTTTTATTTTCGTAACATGTAACGCACTTGGTGTCTTGTCCATGGAGACATTAGCGTGCACTCGGCGTATTGGCCTTGCAGTTGGTGATTCTCAGGTTCAGACCGTGTATGTACTGTATGAATCAAGTACCTAAATTGATGTATAGAATATAGTGCGAGCTTACAGGTTATCAGGCAATAGTTTTGAAAATCGCAAAAATCCAATTAATTTGGACATTTTTGCATTATAAATCTTCAACAACTTCTGTATATGTATTTCATGAGGTATATCATTTCAATTATTTTTTAAAAGTAAAAGTGATTGTAAGGGAAACGTTGGTATGATTTTTGAAAACATTGCATCCAACATTTCACATCCTCTAACCTTTTAAAATATAAGGTGAGCTAAGCCTCAATGAACAGATTTAATTAGCAGGGATGGAATTTTGAATTGAATGAATTGAATTGAATTGAGTTATATTGTAATATAATATTCAAGGTTTAACATAGGGTATTCCCTAAAATACAGAAGGTACGATGTTAACGGAAAAAGTGAAAGAAATGAAGATGATTTTCACATTTTTGTGTACCCTGTAGAGTGCTACACATCAGAACAGTTGTCTAAACAATAGACATATTATATGTGTTCAAATAATAGAATGAATCTAAAATCATTCTAAGTTGTGATGGATCAAGTCTTAAAGAGAGGTTAAGGAAACTATCTGCCAACTTTTAAGTCCTTCATCTTTAATCAAATTTTTAACATTCCCGATTTTAGAATTCTCTTGGTTTTCTGTAGGATATAGGGTCTATAATGAACATTATTTAGAGGGGTAACATGTCTGAGTATTGGAATTCATTTGAGTCAAATAATTTGAGAGGTATTATTACTTCAGGATCTATTGCTTTTTATATTGCTTTAGCATCTCTTTAAGAAATTAATTATGGACACATGATATTTTACCTAGACTTCATGACATTTAGTGGAAGACAATTAATAAATTGTATTTTTCAATCAAATTCTTTGGTCCAATAGTATTGTATTATCTTCCCCAGAAATTTTTGGGGGTGAGATCAAGCAGGTTTCATTATACAATCAAGTTACACAGTGACAAAACATTTGAAAGTCTTGGGGCATGACCTTCGTTGAATTAGTTTCACAAACATTTTTTTACCTGATCCCTTTGTTTTTATTGTCTCTTTGATCATAAATAAAAATATAATAAATATTGTCCCATTTTGAATGATTCGCAAAACTGCAACTCTTCGAGGCATGCATGCCAAACTCCTCACATAACCTCGACACACATAGCCACACCCATTCCTCCTCCTACACATAGAGCTGCCACACCCCTCTTCTGTCCAGTACGTTTTAATGCATGTAGTAAAGTGACTAAGATCCTTGCCCCTGAGGCTCCTATAGGGTGACCTAGTGCTATTGCACCTCCATTGATGTTAACCTGAAGGGGAGAAATGTAGTAAAGTGACTAAGATCCTTGCCCCTGAGGCTCCTATAGGGTGACCTAGTGCTATTGCACCTCCATTGATGTTAACCTGAAGGGGAGAAATGTAGTAAAGTGACTAAGATCCTTGCCCCTGAGGCTCCTATAGGGTGACCTAGTGCTATTGCACCTCCATTGATGTTAACCTGAAGGGGAGAAATGTAGTAAAGTGACTAAGATCCTTGCCCCTGAGGCTCCTATAGGGTGACCTAGTGCTATTGCACCTCCATTGATGTTAACCTGAAGGGGAGAAATGTAGTAAAGTGACTAAGATCCTTGCCCCTGAGGCTCCTATAGGGTGACCTAGTGCTATTGCACCTCCATTGATGTTAACCTGAAGGGGAGAAATGTAGTAAAGTGACTAAGACCCTTGCCCCTGAGGCTCCTATAGGGTGACCTAGTGCTATTGCACCTCCATTGATGTTAACCTGAAGGGGAGAAATGTAGTAAAGTGACTAAGATCCTTGCCCCTGAGGCTCCTATAGGGTGCCCTAGTGCTATTGCACCTCCATTGATGTTAACCTGAAGGGGAGAAATGTAGTAAAGTGACTAAGATCCTTGCCCCTGAGGCTCCTATAAGGTGACCTAGTGCTATTGCACCTCCATTGATGTTAACCTGAAGGGGAGAAATGTAATAAAGTGACTAAGATTCCCGACCCCTTGTGATGCTATAGGGTAACCTAGCGCTATTGCACTATACGGTACTTTGAATATAGATTTATCACCTACCTTCTCAGGTGGGCATCCTAGCTCAGTGACTACAGCCAGAGACTGGGCCGCAAATGCCTCATTCAACTCAAATAGGTCAACATCCCCCACTGACCAGTTTGCTTTCTCCAACTGAAATAAATCAATTAACTTTTCAGTTGCATTGACAGGCCCGTAGCCAGGGGGGGTTCGCAGGGTTCGGGCGAACCCCCCCCCTGGCCAAAAATTCTTTCAAAATCATGCAGTTTTTCACCATTTTGAGCACTTTTCAAGTGATTTTAGCCATATTTGGGGCAAAATTGTCAAATGTGAACCCCCCCTGGAAATTTTTGAAAATTGAACCCCCCCTTGGCAAATCCTGGCTACGGGCCTGATTGATTTATAGTTAATACCTAATACAACATTGTTACATTTCACCGATGTTAGGCAATGTGCGTAAGAATATGACAGTACTTGAATTTCGTACTTCCTCAATGCAGGAGGAGCAATTCTGACATGCATATGCCTGGTTTCAAACTGGGGTTCATTCATAAATTAACTCAAATATATTTCTTGAGCTTTCCACAGAGCATATTGTATCATATGGCAGTACTTCTTAATATATTGATATAAACAAACAAACATGTATATGTTCTCTACAAAATGGTCGGCAATAAGTGAGGGGGTTCTCTGGAGGTCACTCCTCATTAATTCTCGTCATTCTTACTTAACTATTAAGTAACCCAATAGGTCACCCATGTGAGCTAATAATCAGCAATGGAAACTTGAGTTAAAGAGTCTGGATTACAAATTGTAATCATATATGGCATCAATACAGTATTAAGATAAATTTAGACAAGGCATTAACATGGCAAAGGACTAGTATTAAGATGGCAAGAGATTTTGGACAGCTGTATTTTTGGTCATGGGTATTTCCCGACCATACAATGAACATTTTATATTAAAACAATATCTTGACTTCAACAAAAGTGCATGAAAAATATAAACATCTCAATTTAATAATGAGATTAGCCATGGATTAGTAACCCACCTCACTTTTTCAATAATGTTGACCTTATATTGAAAAAGAGGACCTTGATTTTCAAAGTTTCTGTGCAAAATTAGATTGCAACATTAGTTATCAGTAATCTCATATATAGGAAAATTGGATTGAATTCCTAGTTTTTTTAAAGAATTTTGGGCTCTCTCTCCAAGAAATACTGAAATAATTGCTATGTGATGTTTATAATATATTCAACACAAATACATGGCAACACAGTGTCATAATACCTGGTGTTATATTTGGAACTCATGTTTTGTACTCATAGTGTCAGCTACTGAATGCAGTTTATTCATACAGGATTATATGGCATTGTGACTTGCAAACACTTGAGTAGTATTATATCCAACAGCATTTATATGGAAGGTATAAGAAAATGTTTGAAGGATACATGCTGATAAAAGTCATGCTCATACACGCCTAACCATCGACAAGGTACAGTCACGTGACAGGTGACAAAATATGCCGTAGTACACTTTTGATGTACTATGTCACTATTAACTGATTTTGAGCGAAGACCATGATGTAGGTTCGATGCAGGTTTTCAAAAATAAATTTTAGGAGAACACAAAGGATTTTATGTTTGATTTCGCGTGCATTCGATTTCAAAGACATTTATTTTTCTAATAACGTTAAAAGATCTTCGAGCAGTGCTCGATTTTTTTCGTTGTTAGTCTACCCATACGATTCTTCGGTTGGAAAAATGTTGTTTTTTACACATTTCCTTTGATAATTTTCTCCCCTGACGTCTCAGAGTGTCGAATATTTTTATGAGAATGTGTTTCTCTAAACTACACAGTTTAGGACAGGTGAACATTTAATAAACATTCATGCATTTGATATAATTTAAAAAATCAGAAATGTACGTTGTCAACTCACAGTGTATGTTGTCCCTGTAATTGAAATACATGAGTTATAATATTAAACATTGCAATGATTTAATTTCAAAATGCATTAAGGGTTTTATGCGTTACAAGTGATGTTCAACGAACATGCTCCTGTATCCCTAGTACAGATAAACAGGTAAAAGTGATTTTTTCGTTGAATGCTATTTTATTTTATGAAAGTATTAATATGGTGATTAATATGTGACCACGGCGTGTTTTCTTCCGACCTCTTTAACCACTCGACATCGGTACGTTACGTTATGTTTAGTTGCACTTTTATGAATTTTAATAATCTTAAGGAGTTCATGGAGAGATCTTTACTAGCTAATCCAAGATGACTTTATGCTACAGGGTGTCCCGAAATTATGGGCCCCCATAGGCAGACATATACCAATGTCTCAATGTATGTGTCGTATATCATTTTAAAGCTCATCCAAAGTTACATTAATTTGCCGAGTATCATGGTTCAACTCACAAATGGAAAAAGTTACAGGAATTTCAAAAGTTAGCCGCCATGTTAACAGCAGCAATACTTTCCATATATGATCTTAAACTGGCTTCAAATAGGGATATGGCGTTTTGTAATCTTCATAAAACCTTTTTAAGGCATAAGAAGAGTTTCCTTGGAGTATCTACCTTAAACGTCATCTTTTTAGAACTCGATATCCATATATTATCTTCGAGAATAGCATCCATATTTTCTGTCACATTCAGGTGAGGGCTGTTTCCAGGATACCGAAATGAACTTTTTGGCAAAACGCTAATTTTTGAAATGCCTGTTACTTTTTACCATTTGAACCATCATATTTGGCAAATCAATGTAACTTTGGATAAGCTTAAATATGATATATGACACATACTATGGAGAAATTGGTATATGTCTGCCTAGGGGGGAAAGTGCAGAAGTTCAAAAGCCAGGGTTATGGAATACTAAAAAATTATTAGTAACATTGAAATTTAATCATATCAATGACAATTTTATTGATTAACGGACAAAATATTAGAGTAAATTTTTCGATATGCCAGCCCTATTATTATAAATTATTACTTTATTATCAAATATGTTCCTTCTATTACACGTACATTATAGCATTTCATTCATGTAAAATTAACTGTGAATTGAGATCTGTAAGGCCAATGTGACAACATACATTCGAGTTGACAACATACATTATCTGTTTTTCGTAGTAGCATCCAAAGTAAAAAGCGGTTTTGCATTAACTCTGGATGTATATTTGTATACTTATCTTAAGTTGTGTTAGTCGTAGTTTGGCTGTTATTTGCATAGCAAAACAAAAATTAGAGAGAATTTTGCGAAATTCAGTCAAGATTTAGAGATCCCTGACGTACTGGGTAGATCTATAACAAGATATTGAAGTTGCTGAGGATCATTTGAAATAGATATGCATATTTGCAACTTAATTACAAATCGAATGCAACAACTGCCTGATGATGAACTGACACAATATTGATCAAATCAATGCTAGTTCTTACCTCGCTTCCTCATTCTAGAAAATGGCGATATAAAATGGCGGAAATGACATAGTACATCAAAAGTGTACTACGGCATATTTTGTCACTGTCACGTGACTGTACCTTGTCGATGGTTAGGCGTGTCATAGTAATTTGAGTAATGGCTGATGTTTGAATGTATTTTTTTTTCTCCAGCACTTCACATTGCCTTGACATTATATCCTTTATGTGACCCAATCCCAAAAGAGGGGTGTATAAATTCAAGAATCTGGCAAACTTCATTACACTTTCATTTGGTTGGGATATAGCGAGGTTTTTATTACTCCAGTCTTATTCCATATAATTATATAAATATGGTGAGGTAGAATTGCTAATTATAAATTCCATTCAAAATAGGTAAGTACAAAACATGGCACAGGTACACCCTATGGCATAGGCTACGGCACCCCCTATGCCATACTGTAGGCACTTAAACACTATTTCGAGTCAAATTCTTGCATATTTATGTAGATTATGATTACCCTTACAAATGTCTACCCTTCCAAACATTGTTCTTGAGCCTCTTACTAAAGTTATATGATCTTTCTTGGCATAGTTTGCCATGTATGAACGTTTGTAAATCTGAATCAAGTTACAGACGTATGTAGTACGTACTCAAGGACCCATTCTCTCTTTGCCAAAAACAAAACTTTAGTAAGAGGATCAAGAACAAAAATAATCGAAATAAATCTCAATTAGTATTCAAGAGCCAATGACACAGGGGTGCCATAGAGTATGCCATGGCTTAGTGCCATGTTTTGTACTAATCCCATTTTATAAGCTTTTTCTATTTTTTTATTTTCTAATCAAAATACGGGTGTTTGTGATTCATTTCTGTAAATGTTAAGAATATAACTTGAAACGATACACAATTAGATGAAACGGTGTAAGAGGCGAAGATACAGGGCGAGCCAATAAAGGAAACCAAAAAAATGTTTGCTAATAACTCAGTCATTCAGTATGGGTTTAAAATCATATTTGGCACAATTAAACCTTGTACAATTTCAGTTCATTATACATTTGATTCTCAATTATATTGCAGTTAAAAGTTACATAGGTCAATGCCTTGCGCAATGTGCATTACAGGCTAGCGTTTTGAAACGAATATAGATCAAATTAATTAACTCATTGAGTGAGTTATACTTACAAATGTCCCAACTGGTTGCCTACACTCAATGGTGAAATGTAAATCAGAATAAACTGGGTTAAAACCTTGGTCAATGTTCTTTCATTCTACTAAGTGTCATTGGTCTATCTATAATAGTCACGATTTTATGGTTATTTACAAAACATGGTCAAAATGCCGAAATGTGTCTCACTGACTGGACATAAATCCCACCAGAGTTTTATCTTTGGGCCTATTTTCTACACCAACATCCCTTGAAACATAGAAACAAGAGATAAGAAGGAAGATAAGAGCCATAACACAAGATGTTTATGAGCGTGTTGTATACAACTAAGCCCAAAACGTTCAAGTTGGTCTTCAAACATGAATCCCATATTTTGTGGCATGTTTTGTTAAATAGCCATAAAATTTTAACCACTAGAGATAGACCATTAAAACTTGGTAGAACTAGAATGACAATATATTGGACAAGGCCTAATTGTGCCAAATGTGACACTAAACCTGATTTATTAATATTTGTTAGGGTTACCTTTTTTGGCTCACCCTGTACATACAATATACAATTATCAGCAACATAACAAGGTCAATGATTATGTCAATGTACCATACCATACATGTAAAATACTTTTGTGAAGTATATTGAAAAGTAAAACAATGGAAATAAGGAATATTTGCCAGTGGAGTCTCAGTACTACAAAATCTGACTGAGTCTTGAAAACTTGTTTCTTTTCACGTTAGATCATGGTTTTGGGCTACATGGGGTTTGTTTTTCTTGACTGGTATGCACTTAGAGTTTGCTTTTTCTTGCTAAGTTCCATTACAACTTTTGGTCCTTTCCCTTTGGTACTTGTGCTTATATATCAATAGGACAACAGAATCACAAACTCGTAGATTTCAATGGGTCATTTTATTTTTCATTGGTATCTAATGAGACTCAATTGAACTTTTCCCAGAGTAGCTGTTGTGGTATTGCAATGTCAGAATAGCTCTTGTGATATTACAATGTAGAGAAATTTATGTGGTATTGCAATGTCAGAGTAACAAATGTGGTATTGTAATGTCAGATTAGCACATGTGGTATTGTCAGGGATTGGAAAATGGATTACAAATTGTGGAACTGTTACCAAAATCAGTTTCATAATCCATCCCCTTTTCATACATTTTCACATCCATACATAGCTTTACTGTACATCAGTTTTTCATAGGTCCAGTATAAGTCAGTCAATGTTATTATATTCATGCCTAATTGGATACTCTGGTATTGAATTATATCCCCTCACATAAATAATGGATTATATTGGTTTCTCATGGCCTAGCAAACTGTCATGCGTTCATTAGGTGTCCACACATACATACATTTACAAATGTTCCTTCATTAATGCATCGGTTTTCTCAAAGATGGCAGATGGGTAAACAGAACTTTCAAAGATGGACAAGGCGAACTCCATAACATGGGATTTCCCATTGGATAATCCTCATTCCCATGTAACTTTCATATCAACTTTTCAATCCATATGCCCTTATATGAAGTTAATGCTACCTTACAGTGTAATCTTATATTGCAAAAAAATATGAAAAATCATGGTCATCTTTTTCAGTAATAAGGTCAATATTATTGAAGGTGGCTTACTAATCCATGGATAATCTCATTACTAAAATGAGATTTTTATTTTTTTCATGCACATTTGTTGAAGTCAAGATATTGTTTTAATATAAAATGTTCATTGTATGGTCGGGAAATACCTGTGACCTAAAAATACAGCTGTCCAAAATCTCTTGCCTTCTTAATACTAGTCCTTTCACCACCTAGTTGTTCACAATATTATGAGTTCAATCTGAAGTCAGATTCAAATTTCTGAGGACTTGATGATTTTGAAAAAAAGGTTAATTTGAAACAAGTTGATAAAGACCTTTTTGACCTTGAGAAGGTCATTGAAGGTCAAATCTTAAATCTAAAGTCAGATTTGAACTTTGAAAACTTCTAGATGATTTTGAAAAAAGTTGAAGTCAGTCGAGACGCCAACCACCAACCCCAGTCACAAAAATGGAGACCATGACAATGTCCCCACTTTTTGGTGGTGACATAATAAATGCTTGCTAAAAGGATCTTGGATTACGAAGGTATGTAAGTTTTATGATTGAGATTGAAACTGGTAAGCAAGTACATGTATGTGCTAAAAGACTACTAGATGATTTTAATTTCAGTTTTCATCAATGTTAAGCTCCTTGTTTTAAACAGCCCCTAAACACAAATTGATATTTGTTTGATATCTTGAGGCAGGACATGGGGATAAATTACACTTTGACCAGCTACTTTGCACAGGATGGGGCATCATGCAAATCGTTAAATTGTGCAAAAGCAAAAGTATTTTTCCAGGCATCAAGGACTATTTTTGTAGGCAAAATGTAGAGAAAACAGAGAGATAACATAAATTCATAAAATATGTATGGATTTTCAAAAGTTTAAAGCTAGTGGGAGACTCATGAACTTCATTAGAGAGGCTCTATCGAGAAAAGGTATGTGGAATTTGGATATATCGGATAGGTCCACTCTCCTAAAATCCCTCAAACTTACCGCTTTTCTTGTTGCTGGAATCGGACCAGTTCCCATTATCTTAGGGTCTACACCTGCCTGTGCCCAGGACACTATTCGTGCCATAGGTTTCAGGCCCCTAGAGGTCGCCTCTTGCAATGACATCACAACACACACTGCGGCCCCATCATTCAATCCTGGAAAATATCAATTCTATAGTACATGTGCAATTGGAGCATATTTCAATTTTAAAATTGACTAAAAAATAAAGGTACTTTTCGAGAAATAAAAAAGTTCTAAAAAATGTGTCAATTTGAGGTGACCAAACTACCCAAAATCATTGTGGTTTTGAAATTACACCCATTCTGACCCTTTCTGGTCAACATATTTTTAAAATTCTCCTTTCAAATTGGTAAATGAATTTTCACCCAAGCCCACATGGTAATTTTCATATTCTATAATATCAACTTGTTATTCTCAATTGCATTGATTCAAAATTAATGTTTTATTTGACATTCTATAATATTACTGAGATTACTCCTTATGTTGCACAATGTGATTAAAATGTATTTCAAAACCAGTCTGTTTACAGCATTCAACAAAACAAGCTATTAATAAAGTATTTCCCCACTTCCCATACCACGTAGCACATACGTAAAGTACAAATATCTCGGTTAATATTACACCCACTGTTCTGTCTTACCTGATGCATTTGCAGCTGTTACTGTCCCACTGCCATCTTTAATGAAAGCAGCACGCACTTTCTGCATTGATTCTATAGTACAGCCCTGTCTTGGAAACTCATCTTTGGATACTTCAATGCTACCTGAAATATGGATATATCATGCTTAATGCTTTCATTTTTTGTTTTGTTTTGTTGTTCTGTTATTTTTGTTAAATTGAAAGTTTGCTGAAAATTTAAGAATTTTACTGAAAACTCAACAAAAGCATGCCAAGGTAACAAAACTTGCCCAAGAACTATCTTTAAAAAAATTTATTTCCAAGAAAAGGTGATTTCTATAAATCTTTCCTTGTATAACATATATAAGTAAATGTTATGCATATTTTCTTGGCAATCTTCAAAAAAACAACCACTCATTATCACTGGCCAATGACCTTATTGGCAATGTTCAACACTAAATGGCACAGTAAGTGGCCATGTGCTTTATATGCCCTTGCTGGATGAGCCGGATATAAATGGGAACATGCCAAATGGGCATGTCCTGAATAAGTACATGCTAAATGGACTTGTACTAAATGGGTGAATGCTAAATTGGCCTGTGTTAAATGGGCACATACTAAATGGGCATGTGCTAAATGGGTGAATGCTAAATTGGTCTGTGTTAAATGGGCACATACTAAACGGGCTTGTGCTAAATGGCTAAATGCTAAATGTAGGCATGCTCATGAATAAGTACATGCTTAATGGATACATGCTAGATGGGCCCATGCTGAAAGAACATATGCTAAATACTAGATAGGTACTTCTGTAATGGGTACATGCTAAATAAGACTGTGCTGAATGGGAACTTGCTAAATGGACCAGCGAAAACTAAATGGGCCTGACTGCTTGATAAGTCCATGCTAAATGGGTCAATGCTAAATATGTAGCTGCTGAATGGGGCTTTGATATATGGACCAGTGTTAAATAGATACATACTGGACTGACCTAAAATGGGTGTGTGGTAAATCAGTACATGCCAAATGGGAATATATTCAATAGACCTGTGCTAAATGGGTACATTCTAAATGGGTCCTACCTTTCCTAGAGGGAACTGATATGGGAATGATCTCTTGGTCAAAATGTCCAGCATTTTGAGCTGCCTCACATTTGAGTTGTGACTGTAGAGCAAACTGGTCCTGGGCTTCTCTACTCAGATTCCATTGTTTGGCTATATTTTCAGCTGAAATCCAGTAACACAAATTTTAATTTTCTATTTATTACTCAACTGAAAGATGAAAGTCAAGAAAGCCGATGACTATGTTTAAAATGTTCGTACTGCTTCACAATGAAAATGCAAATTTTGCTTAGTAAATTGTATAAGTTATTTGATCAAAATAACAAATGTTTGGCAAAAACCGTCTACAGTTTTTTTAAATTGTAGAATCTGAAAAAATCAATTAAAAATCAAAATAAACTGTTTAGAAATTTAGTGCTAGATTTAAAGAACAACTATATTTTATTTGCTTTCCTGGTAGAAATAACAAGGCATTAACATGCAAAATATCACCACCTGCCTTTTGTTACAAACACTGAACACCAACCACCAAATGCCGAACACTGTCCAGTCTCCACAAAAAAGGTTGGAGACCATAACAATATGTCACCACTCATGAAGGTGACATAAAATCAGAAATGTATGACATATTATATACTTTTATACAATAAACCTAAATATTTACCAGTTATCCCCATGTGGCATTTATGGAATGCATCCATGAGGCCATCATTAATAACAGTATCAACCATTGTGACATCACCAAACTTAACACCAGCTCTCATGTCTGCAGTGTGGGGAGCCTACATCAAAGATGAGATAAGTAAAAATAATACTTACTGGTTTCAATTCCAGTCATAGTTACATATAAAATTAAAGTTTCTTCAGATATCATTATTATGATTTAGGCAACTCAATTGACCATTACTTTTATAGTTATGTATTTTATTCATCCGTGTATAAGTATCCACAAATTTTGTGTGACACAAGCACATTTTTAATTTTCATCTTGCTGATTCCACTGCCATCTTTATATAAAAATAATTTCTACAGCCCTTTTAATAAGTCTTTGGTAAAAAGAATTTGATTGGGCTGAACCATTTAGAAATACATGTTATAACATCACATGGCAAAATATAGGCATACACATCCAGTAAAGCAAATATTCTATAGGCCTTAGTCATGACTGGTGCTTATTGTGATACAGTGGAACCCCTCTTAGGTGAACAATCTTGGTGTCAAAGTTAGAGGGTGTTTATCTTAAAGAAGTGGATTTGAGATGGGAGACATTGGAGATGAATAAAATGGTGCTTGTGTAAAAGTGTTCATGTAACAAAGTTGTCCATCTTAAGGGGTGTTCAAATTGAGAGGTTTAACTGTATACATGTACTACCTTCTCACCTTACTCATGTTCTCCTGACCCCCTGCTACAACTATAGTAGAGTCCCCTGCCTTGATGGCCTGGCTTGCTAGCCCTACAGCCTTGAGTCCTGACCCGCACAGCATGTTCACCCCCCACGCAGGGACAGAATCTGGTATACCAGCATTCATGCTCGCTTGCCTTGCAGGGTTCTGACCTTCACCTAAAATATGGAACAGTCAGCTTGGTTAGATATGGATACTCTAGTTAGACTTGTTAGAACTATTTCATTGGGGAGATTATCATCATTATTCAAAATAGCCATCTTATACAGTGATCTCCCAAGCATTAAAGCAAGTGGGTGCAGCACCCACCTGAGATTTTGAAAATAGGCTTGCACCCACCTGAAAATCTATTTGCACCCACTTGAAAAATCATGAAAAATTGGCATATTTTGACCAATTTTGGTCTAAATAGTCAAAATGAGAATTTTGCACCCATCTGAGAAAAAATCCTGGGGAGATCACTGTTATATATAAGGCATAAAGTCAAAAGACAATTTTTTCTTTCCAAATATTTTGAATATTATAGAGTGGCAGATATGAAGCTAGCCCCCCCCCCCCCCCCTTCTGGTAAATCAAAAAATTGAGGCCCAAAAATTTTTTAAATGTAGGCAGAATCTTCACAACATTTTTGGTACAAACATATGTTAATGAAAATATAATTGTTTGCGAGACGCTAAAATGATCAAAGTAATCCCTCACAATTGTTACGTAAATGGAGAAAGCATTCAATATTCAAGTTACCTTACCATTGAAATTCTTGAACAAATATATGTTTAAGTTGAATCATACTGACTATTTGGGAGAAATTGGAACTTCTACAGTCCAAACAGGAAAGTTAATGTTTAATTTGGATATTTACCATTGTAATTCTAGATTTAGATGTGTTTGTTTGGTATTTCAAGGCTTGCTAACATTTCATACTTCTTCAATATCCTGATTGATCACCTTCAACTGGCAAATAATTTGACAAAATACCCAAAAGTGGTCTAAAATGGCAGGTATTAACCAATATAATACTAAATATGGCCAAACTGCCCTAATTCATGTCACCATACTAGTCAATGGGCAAAAGGGCAAACGCCTGACTTTTTATCTCGAGTTATGGATTTACGTGGCCTCACTGGCCTATCTGAGGTTCTAAACCTATGTCTAAGCTACATTTTGACACTAAACTCAATAGGGGCCAATCATCTACTTTTTGAAATAATTGGTCAATTGTGACACTACCCCCTCTCTCTGCCGACAGTAATTGAAATTCATAAAAATGAAGGCAAAATTAATACGCCACTTGATTCGAAATTTTCCTTCAGATAACCCAAATAAACGCATTTTCAGAAGAAATGGCATGTTGTCATTGCAAAAAGATGACAACTGTGCCTACATACTAGCTTACTGACTCGTCATGATCACAATTGTGTTGGGTCTACATTCACTTTTGAAAACTACTTTTTTCTATTCAGCGGAAGTGACGTATTAGGGCATTTGGGCCTAATAGCAACATGGTTGGATGATTTCTGGCTTGAAATTGCGTTTTTCCAATTTACTAGAGTTTTTCAAGTTGTTTTGTGCAGTTTAAGAATATTCTGACAGCAATTATGAAAAATATGGCTACCTTATTACCCCTGGGGTCATTTTCCCAAGAACCCAATGGTTTTCCTTTAAATTTGACTAGTTTTTCATTTACATCATGAAATCTACTGCCTGATGGTGACATTTTACAATGTCGTGTCAAGAAATTGAGTTTCTTTATTGCATATTGCGATTTTTAGCCAAAATCACTGAACCGTGAACCAGAAAATTGGGCAAATTTGGCCTACATAGGCAAAATTATTACTAAAATTATCATTTTTTTGATATTTTATTCCATGCAACAACCTCCTGATTTGAAAAATGACGACAAATTTGATCAGATTTGACTCTGGCCTAGAGAATTGGGACTTTTGAGATAGTTTTAGCTCGAATTTGGTCATTCAGAGTGGACAATTACATCAAAAATTGACACTTAACTGACCAATCTCTGACTGCACCCCTGATATGTACCTTCATTCTTTACTAGAAACCATAAGATGGAAAATTCAATCTTTCTTATGAACAGCAACTCATTGGCTTCCCCATTTACGACAAAATATGACATCTTGGTGTCATTAAGGACGAAATTGTAGCCAAATATCGTCAAAATCAGTGGTTTTTGGGGTAAAAAGCGAAAACTGCTGATTCAGCAAAAACTTTAAATTTGTTCATGAAAATTCCCCTTTTTGCCTACGTCCAGAATATGTTTCATACTAATAAACTTCAATTCTGGGCGATTCTGAGTAGTTTTGAAAATTTTTTGGTCACTCTCACTGTGACTAATAGGCCAAACTGCCCTAATTCATGTCACCATACTAGTCAATGGGCAAAAGGGCAAACGCCTGACTTTTTATCTCGAGTTATGGATTTACGTGGCCTCACTGGCCTATCTGAGGTTCTAAACCTATGTCTAAGCTACATTTTGACACTAAACTCAATAGGGGCCAATCATCTACTTTTTGAAATAATTGGTCAATTGTGACACTACCCCCTCTCTCTGCCGACAGTAATTGAAATTCATAAAAATGAAGGCAAAATTAATACGCCACTTGATTCGAAATTTTCCTTCAGATAACCCAAATAAACGCATTTTCAGAAGAAATGGCATGTTGTCATTGCAAAAAGATGACAACTGTGCCTACATACTAGCTTACTGACTCGTCATGATCACAATTGTGTTGGGACTACATTCACTTTTGAAAACTACTTTTTTCTATTCAGCGGAAGTGACCTATTAGGGCATTTGGGCCTATATCATCACAACACTTCATTCTTACATTTTACCATAAACTAACTCCTAAACATATTTTATACCCACATCTTTGTCAATTGCGTCCCTGCATAATGAATTAGCTTAGTTATTCATTTACTCCCACATGACATATACATAGGCCCAGGAATATACTAGTACATGTATATAAAAACACTGAGCCTTGGTCTACTAAGAATCTCTTTTCTACCTCAGTCTCCGAGACTCCGACTGGACAAACTTTGATTTTGCATTAATTAATTGTTCATTGGCCTATATGGAGATACATGTATAAATTATGAATGACATCTGGCCAAAGATATTTGAGTAGCGCCAAGACATTCTCTTTATACCATCTCACATAGTATTTTCCATAAGACTATCAGGCAGTATAACAACTCGAAAAAAGTTGGATACATCCAGAGGTCTATTGATTCTGTTGGGACAAGAACCCTACTAGGTGAATCGAACAGAAAAACCTTCTGCATCACTAACCAACTTTTGAGTGGACATACCAGATTAAACAGCCATATCAAGAAAATTAACCCAATCCACGACACCAACTTATGCCTAGACTGCAACAAACCAGAAACAATAGATCACTATCTATTCAAATGCAATAAACTCCAAGAATTACGGGAGAAAGTGCTTCACGATGCAGTCTGTATCTTACTTGAGTGTGAAATTATATACACACTAGACTTGAAAACCCTGGCCGGAGAAAATCAAAAACTCCCCAACAAAATCAACAGGAAACTGAACGATCTATTCAGAACTTTTATCATAAAGAGCAAAAGATTTTAAAATTTTAAAAACACATACGTTAGTTCAACTAGATAAGGATTTTAAGTAAAATAAAAAAAAAAAAAAAAAGAAAAAAAAAGAGACTTCTACAAACCATCAGTGTAAAACTTACAAGTGATAGCACAGTGTGGAAAACAAGCACCAGAGACTAAACAAAGGTGGCATCAAAGCACCTATTACAGATGGACATAAACAAACAAACATATCATTTGTAAATTGTGACACTTACTTGCAGTGAGCACTTGGCCCAGAATGACCTCTGACACATCTCCTGGATTGACCTTTGACCTCTTCAATGCCTCCTCTATAACAATCTTGCCAATGTCATGGGCAGATACTGTCGCCAGAGATCCAGTGAATGACCCTGAAATCATATTTATAAACAAAAATGAAACTAAAAAGGCAGCTGGTCCTTGGCAGTGATCTTAGACATGGTATATTTAGGAAATGTTTGATTGTCATCAAAAATCAAATTCCAAAATGATAGCAAATTGCTGACTGTGTAGTTTCCTTCTCAATCAATCAATCAATGACTTCCAAATTTCTGTTTTCAAAAGTAAAATTTCACTCTCAAATTTTCAGCATCAAAACTCAACAGATGAAAAAGATATTTGGACATCTTTGAGATATATGATAATACAACATATCTTTGCGATGGCAAAGTACTATATAATCAAACTAAGGAGATGCTCACCAATGGGTGACCGAACGGCCGAAACGATCACTGCTTCCATTTTGCACCTCTAAATTGAAGAGCGAATTTGACCTACTTTCAAAACGTTTGAAAAACATTTGAAGAAATACATTTGAATATCTTTTCAACTACAAAATTGGTTAAACTAACAAGATGTCTGTGTTATTAGAGACATCACTGGGTAATATTGTAGTCGATCTGTACACAGACGAAAGGCCAAGAAGTGAGTAAATGACCTCAATTTTGAGAATGTACTCAATTATCGCCCAGACAATCTTTTATTAAATTTTTTGTTTATTTTATAGCAAATATAATTCTTCATATGTTTCTGTATCTCTTTATGAAAATGATTTGGTTATCTTCTAGTGTTGGACAATATATTCTGATCTGATAAAAGTGCTTATTTCATATATTGACCATTCAATGATTCTTCTCAGGGTGCGTTAGACAGGTGCATAATGCTGCCCTGTCAACCCTCATGCATTATGCATGATCGTCACGAATTTGCTGGAAATTGAAATCACGCATCAATTTTGCGTGTATGATCAAATGTCACGCAGATCTGTTCGGACTCTTCACGCAGTTCCATATGTCACGCATTTGGTTTGAAAACTTTTGTATTTTGTACCTACCCTCCAAATGGTCTTTTTACATGAAGATGAATAGATGCAAAATTAGAAGAGGAATCTAAAACTAAAAACTAGGTACCTTTACAAGGTTGTGATTAAAATGTGTTTAACCATTTTTTAATAGGCCGCGCCTGGAGAGCCTTAAAATTTAAGGCTCTCTAGCCAAAATGCTAAAGAGCCTTAAAATTTAAGGCTCTTTAGCATTTTGATAGCCAATTCTGCTAGAGAGCCTTAAAGGAATTACAGGCTACAGAAATGACGAAATATTGCTTCTGGGACAAGATCAAATGACTTTGACATATTCTATACCCAACCTATTTTGTAATTTAACAATCAGCACAAATATACATACCATATTAGCAGATATCGGACAAATTCAAAAAGAAAATTTTTTTGATCGATAAAATCACTGATTATTAAACCGGAAGTGTCTTCTCTGAGGTCCGCGAAGATGAAGAAGATAACATAAACATATAAAGATTTCAGTCATTTCAACTAACTTTGCCGTCGATTTGATTTACATGGTTTTAAATGATCTTCTAATGCTATACTATTCTTCTATTAGTACTGTTTTGACTTCCCCACTTCATAAAAAAAACATTATCACTTTTTGCTCGACTCATAAATTTACCTCCGGTCTACCGAGAGAAATAAAAGAATGTTTTCAATCCTCAGTCTAAATTTGGCTTTTTAAAGGTTCAAACATCGATTTTGAAAAGTAAATGTTTGATTGTTTCATGTTCATGCATATATCGGAAATATATGTCTCTGGTTCACCAGAGAAGGTGTAAGACAAGGCAATCACATATAGCCAGAAAAATGTTATTTTTTCCATTTTATCCACTATAAATCGCAACCTCCGTTTAGTAAAGATTTTGATGTATAGACATTTATTGATGGATTGGAGGCTAGGATAAAAATGTTGTTGTTGTGTTGCATAAGCCGCTGTTTCTACGACAGTTCACCTCTTGTACTGTAAATTTTCTTTGTGCTCTCTCATGTTCTTTTAAAAATTCTCACTTGTGAGGAAAATATTATGCAAAAATAGCAAAGCCAATACAAGTGATTAATTTCATTAAACATTGACGATTGAGCGATGGAGCAAGCCCAAGAATTCTAGAAAAAAATGTGTACATAATTTCCGGGCCTCAGAGAACAAACTTCCGGCTTGTTATTCAAAATAAAAAGTGCTCCGTCAGGGAATCGAACCCACGCCGCAGAAGTGGAAAGCGAGCACCCTAACCACTATACCAGAGTGTTTTACCATGATTAACAAATCTTTTTGCAACTCTATAGTGATATACATGTGTGAAATTTTTAAGTGGCATTCTGGGTTGAAAAACTTTCGAGAGTGTTGTTTTATTGTTTAGATGACGAAAACTTCAATAAAAAACAATATAAACACGGATTATAAACACAAAGGCTGTCTAGCCAAAACACTATGTTCACAGCTAAATAGCCTTAAATTTTAAGGCTCTTTAGCATTTTGGCTGAAGAGCCTTAAATTTTAAGGTACTCCAGACACTTCGTTTTTAATAAATCATGATAAAAAATGCACAATAAACATAACATCATCGTGGTTTGTAATGTCGTATTTTTAAGTGATGTATCAATTGCAAATGTTAGATGACCATTTTTATTCCGGTTAGTCAATTTGGATCATGATGAGAAAACACACATACCCATTACATTATGTTCAGTATGGAAATAGTAAAAACACAATCAAGGTACTGGTGGAACGAAAACATTTTTGAAAAAAATTGCTATACCTGCACCTGTTATTTTCTGGTACAAAATAAAGTATAAAGGCATGTGTGTTTTTCCTTGCTTTTTTGGCTCACACAGTGAGCCTATGGGATCGACCAGGCGTCCGTCCGTTGGTCCGTCCGTCCGTCCGTTGGTCCGTCCGTCCGTTGGTCCGTCCGTCCGTCAACATTGGCCGCACAAATTAAAACTGCTATTCGGATTGAGTCATATCCACATTCATTTTATGCATATCCATGATGCCTATTTGACCTATCATCGCCATTTCCCAAGATTGCCCAATTTTCGAGAAATTGCGGATTTTGACGTCAAAAAGTCAAATTTTCGAGAAATACTGGACACTTTGTTGAAGTAGAACTTTCAAATAACTTTTAGTAGTTGCTGTATATGCAACTTACGTCCTCTGAAGATTTCAAAGCTCTTGGAATTACAGTTTTTGTTGTTTACTCTATAAAGTCAATGGCAGGTATTGTGATTGACAAGTTTCTCAAAGTTTGCCTTATACTTGATCATTTCTTGCAATGAATTACATCATTACTAGATTTAAGCATTCTCTACATATTGCTCAATATATGTCAGCATCAAATTTTTACCGTTTTTGAGATATTTGATGTCAAAAAACAGTAAGAATAAGTTATTTTTCAACTTGCTTCAATTTGACTAAAATTTTTTTTGAAAATCATTTACAAGTTGCCTGGAGTTCAAATCTGACATTAGCTTTAGGATTTGACCTTTACTTGACCTTCAGTGACCTTCGAAAGGTTGATTTTTCAAATTGATTTTTGGATGTAAATTTTGGTCAGCTTAATCACAAAAGACCTTACTGAGCTCTGAATTAGTAAAATTTTCAAGGTCAAAGGTCATCAAACTAGGTCACACAATTGTGCTATCTAAGTTTCTCAAAGTTCGAGACTACAAATCCAAATCAATATTTTTGTTTGAAAGTCAGGATATACATTCCTCTGAAGGTTCCAAACTGTGTGAGCACAGGACCGTGGGTCTGTCATTCAGTTAAGTCTCATTACACAGTCATTTTCTAAGATGCTGAGAAATTTACAAATACATTATGATTTTTTGAATTTCCAGTGCAAAATAATATATCCCTGTGTGTGTTATGATTTTGAATTTCAAGTGAAATACATATCCCTATGTGTCTTGTTATAATTTCTAGGTTGTCTAAATTTCCTGAAGTTATGTAAGGTGAAGTACTACAACTTCTGCCTGTTCCACTCTGTACAGAGAAATCTTGGAGCACAAACTGGAGATCCGACTGGCACTGGAAGAGGAGGCAGCTCAATCTTTGAGTAAGACATGTTTTTTTTGTTTTATTATGTCACCCATCACCGGGTAGTGACCAGGGGTTTCATTAGCAGCAGGCAACGTGGGATTTTCACCCGTTGTTTTCTCAAAATCGCCTGTTGTTTTCAGGGACTTTTCAACTTTTCCATATTAAATTCATGATTTCCATTAATTTTGCTTGTTGTTTTCATTTATTTAGCCTTTTGTGAGAAATTCTAGTGAAACCCCTGAGTGACATATTTTTATAGTCTCCAAATATTTTGTGGATGGTGTTCAGCAGTTGATGTTTGGTGCCAGCATTTGGTGCATTTGTCAGCTGGCATCTGTAACAAATGGCAAGATGACATTTTGCATGTTAATGCCTTGTTTCTAACTGGGAAGACTGAGTTATGACTGAGAAATCTATAAAAACGTTCAAGATACTGAATTTCTCATGATTTTACAGTTTAATTTTAATGATGGCCACATTGGCTACTGTATCAAAATGATGTTTTGACAGCTTTAACGTACATTTGCAATTTTCTTATCTTATTTCAAGGCAACTGTATGGGGATCAAGCCAGATATTTTGAAATGGAGAAGAAACCAATTTTAAAGCACAAGAAATATGGTACATTGTCCATGGTGAATAATGGAAATGATATGCATGGTTCCCAGGTAAATATGATTGTTTCTCTCCTGTTTGAAAACAAATGTTGCATAAATATTTTTATGTCCTGATTATCAGTACATTTGGATAATCATCGCCAAAATGAATCTGGCAGTGCATCAAAGTCTTAAACTAATCATTGATTTTTTTTAAAAATCTGCAAAAGTTGGCTTTCTATTGGCATTTTCATGAAAAGTTATGTCTATAATAAGCCCATATAACCATTACTAAAGATATGTAATTTCCATATTACTTGTCAATTATTCCTTACCTTTTATTGATTTGCAAGTCAATGCCAGATGCTTTGTTTAGGTGTTATCACCATTAAAATCATTATAATTTCAAATCTCAGATCTGTTCTTAACTTATTATAGTTCCTCATTACAACTGGTGAGAACTTGGATTATCTTGATGGAAAACACACTGTTTTTGGAGAACTTGCAGAGGGACATGACATCTTAGAGAAAATCAATGAAGCTTACTGTGATAAAGAAAATAGACCATTTATCGACATAAGGTAAGGAAAATAGGTCATTTATTGACATAAGGTAAGGAAAATAGGCCATATGTCGATGTATCTTAAGGAAAGTAGGTCATTCATTTATTGTAGTATTTCATCACTAGTGAAGCATTTGTATGGAACGTCAATGGAAAAGTAGGCAGGCAATATCCACCAGTGAAAGCCTGTTACTGCCAGTTACTGATTTTCACATCAGCCCTTCGCGCAGAATTTCATTCTGTATTTTCATTAGAGCTCATCATTTCATTATCATGAAATCCAATATTTTTCAATAAATATTTTTGTATTATGTTTTAGAATCTATCACACCATTATCCTTGATGACCCTTATGACGACCCCCCAGCTTTGGAGATTCCCCCTAGATCCCCATCACCTACAAGAGAGATGCTGGAGGTATGTGTATACATATAAAAACAATAAAATATTAGTTTTTACATAACTTTGTAATCTCGCTAAAAAAAAGGGTGGGCCAAATCTCTATTGATGCAATTTAAAATTCTTTAAAACCTTGGTTTATTCGTTCAGCAAACAATATTTTCATGATTAATCACAATATGTACATTAACAGGGTCATCCCATAGTATGCATTTACGTTTCTATGGCAGTCTGGCCCAACCAAAACAAAAGTAAACAAGTGTTGACATCTAATTATTCAGCAGAAAAAACTGAAATATTCATACTCTTATAGTGCTTTGCCCTCATTACAAAAAAGGCCCTTATTCATTTGAATGGAACAAATCATGATTTTTTGGGGTTAATTCAACAAAATGCAATGTCAAACATTTTAAAAATAAATGCATGTTATGATATTCTAGAGTGACCGCATTGCCCCAGATGAAGAGATAGATGATACAAAAGGTTTGACAACAGAGGAAGTGGAGGAAATGCTGAAAAAGAAAGAGGCAAAGGCCAATGCTCAGATTCTAGAAATGGTGAGATTTTGATATTTTAATGATAGGTATTAGAGTACAGAGGGAAACAGATACATATGTTACATACTCAGTAAACCAGAGAATAAAATCTAACATAGAGTGTCCAAGGTTTCATTAAAATGATGCATCTTAAGTTGGATAAAATTTCCATACAATGAAGCATTTAATTTGGTGGTAATAGAAAATTGAATATTGTACTTAAAGTTTGGGTTCAGAAAGTAAGTTGCCTTGAGCATGTAAGAGATTTGAAATCTGTACAAAAGTAAAATATAAATCTTATTAAATTAATTTAACAGATAAGGTTGAAGATGAGTCACAAAAAGTCATATTGTCCAATGCTATAAAACATGAATGCAGATATGTCATTAACTGTAGTAATACTACATATGTATGCATATAATAAACACTTCAATGTTTAGGTTGGAGACCTCCCTGATGCTGATATTGAAGCCCCAGATAATGTTCTATTTGTCTGCAAACTCAACCCTGTCACAACTGATGAGGATCTAGAAATAATTTTCTCACGCTTTGGAAAAATTCTGAGGTAAGAAATAATTTAGTCCAAAGGGCAGCATTAAAAACAGAAAACATATAACTCTTTAAAACCTGAGTAAATATTGTATGATAAATACTGCAGTCAAATTAAAAGTAACCTATTTTGGTACATGTAACAACTATAGATATAAAGAATAAATAAATATTGTAACTTAAGTACCATTATTTCCTATGAAAGAGCTTCATAGTTCTAACTAGATGAAATTTTTCACTTGGTATCCACATTATGTTTAATTCTTAGAAATGCAGTTTGTCCAAAGAGATAAGAATTCCCCTTATTTGACAGAATACCCCTGATTCGAAAGAATGCCCCTTATTTTGGCAGAGTGCCCTTTGACAGGATTCCCTTTTTTGACAGAATGCCCCTTATTTGACAGAATTCCTTTTATTTTACAGAATGCCTCTTATTTGACAGAATTCCTCTTATTTGTCAGAATTCCATTTATTCAAAAGAATGACGTTTATTTGAATGATTTCCTTTGATTTGACAGAATACCCTTTATTTGACAGAATACCCTTTATACTTTCAGTTGTGAGGTGATCAAAGATAAAAAAACAGAGGAGTCTCTGCAGTACGCATTCATTGAATTTGAAACAGTGAGTTGATTTACATTAACCAGCGAGCATAAGTTATTTCAGCTTAGTATTTTTATACATTTTTATGTCACCACCACAAGTGGTGACAAATAGTTATAGTTCCCAGTGGACAGTGTTCGGTGGTGTTTGGTGTTCGGCAGTTGGCGTCTGTAACATATGGCAGGTGGTGTCATTTTGCACGTTAAAGCCTTGTTACAATTTTCTGCAAATTTTGGATTAACCTCAGTTTGTATTTTCCTATTTAAGATATGTATTTCATGAATTACTGTATAAATCCCATGCAACTATATGTATATTATTTTTTTTAGAAAATTGAAATGCCTTTAAATAGGCTAACTGTACTTGTCTTTTCCTCCCAAGTCTTGTGAGAATGCCTACCTCAAAACGGACAATGTCCGTGAAACCCCTTGAAACTACAAGTATATACTTTTCTGAAAAATAAATTGCCTAAATAACTGTAATGTTTTTTTCTCCAGCCGAAATCATGTGAGAATGCCTACTTCAAGATGGACAATGTCCTTATAGATGATCGGAGAATACATGTAGACTTCAGTCAGTCTGTCTCAAAGATACAGTGGAAAGGAAAGGGTGGGTACATTTAATTTCAGTCAGTCACACAATAATTTATTACATCAGTATTTTGGAAAGTATGTCTATGAAAAATCAATTTAGGAATAGCTTTATATAGCTTGTCGTCATGGTAGCAACACAGAGGTTTTAATAGTGACAGACAGCAGTTGTTTTTTACCAAAATTGCCAGTTGTTTTTTGCCAAAATTTTCTGTTGTTCTTGCCAAAATCGCCATTTGTTTTTGGCAAAATCGCCATTTGTTTTTGGCAAAATTGCCTGTTGTTTTTTACCAAAATTGCCAGTTGTTTTTTGCCAAAATTGTCTGTTGTTCTTGCCAAAATCGCCATTTGTTTTTGGCAAAATCGCCATTTGTATTTGGCAAAATTGCCTGTTGTTTTTTACCAAAATTGCCTGTTGTTTTGAGGAACTTTTCAACTGTTTCCATGTTGAGAGTACAGTTTCAATAATTAACCTGTTCTTTACTTTTATTCTAATGTAACACATTGGCAACATTTGGGACACTGTGAACATAAAAATAACTTATATCTTATTCTCTGATAATATGTGTATAAATCCTTATTTAGGTAAAGGAGTAGATGTTATAAAGGAAGATCGGCCAGCCCCTAAACAACGCTATGCTGTCAAAGACAAATCCCAGCGTGGAAAGTAAGGGACATTATTAATAATTATGAACATAGACTTTCTTCCTATACCCCACATTGTGAGTAAAAAGAGATAATCTGTGAGCAATTAGCCTCAGGTCACATTGATTTTGAGTTTTGTTGCTGTTTATTCAAATGATTTATGTATTGTAGGGAGTATGACCTTGTACTCAGTGAAAGTGACGATGAAAGAAAAACATCGAAATATGGAGACAAAAATCAAGGCAGGGGGTCTAATAATAGACAAAGAGGTCCAATGAATAGAAGGGTAATATATGATAGCTTATTAATACTAATAATAAATATTCACATTTTAGATTATTTTAAATAACGTATCAATAGAAAATCTGTTAAAAACATAGAACTAAGAGCACATTGTCAAAACAAATACTTGCAAAGCTCACAAATATCTATTGAGTGTATAAAATATGTTTCTAATTACAATTTCAGGACAGACTACAAAGAAGATACTCAAGAAGTCCTGAACCATCCCATAGAAGTTCTAAGGACCTTTATCCTGAACGGTCAGATAGGAAAAGAGATGGAGGTTACGAACGAGTGGGAAATGATCGTGATTCCCACAGGGATCGTGACAGACAGAACTATCGTGATTCGCGTTATGAACGTGACACAAGAAATGAGCGTGGTACACGAAATGAACGTGATCTACAATCAAGTAGACAGGAATCACGGAAAAGGGACGATTCGCGCAATGAACGTGATTCTCGCAGTGATTCCAGATATGACAGGAATACTTCCAAGTATGACAGAAGTGCAAGACCATATGACAATACTTCAGAGAGACATGACCGACATTCTGACAGAACTGATAAATATCGGAAAAGATCACCATCTTCTGATTCTGAAGATGAGAGAGTGAAAAAATCTAAAAAATATGCTGAAACAATGGACAAAGTATCAATGAAAAACAAATCGAAAAGATATGATTCCGATTCGGATGATGAATATGAACAATACAAGAAAAAATCAAAGAAATTGAAGAAATCCAAAAAGGAGTATGACTCTGATTCAAATAGTGACACTAATAGATACAAGAAAAAAACTTCGAAGAAATCTAAACACAGTTATAGTTCTGACTCTAGTTCAGAATCTTCCTACAATGAAAAACCCAAGAAAAAGAAAAGCAAACGCTCAAAAGAATACGATTCAGAGGAGACTCTATCAAAATCAAAGAAAAAACACAAAAAGGAAAAGAAAAAGAGTAGACATTAAATGTTAAAAGCATATGCACTGCTGGAATATAAGTTGATGTTGAAAATGAGTTTTCAACCAAATTAATGATTTTCACGAGGAATAAAATAAAACAAGATATTGAAATGACAAAATGTCACAACCTATCACAAAAGTGTAACAATTGTTTCAGACAATGACATCAAATTCAAAATGACTCCAAAGCTGGACACTTGTCATAAATCAATACATGTATGTGATTGCTTCCCAGTGGTGACATTAACAGCTATTTTTGTAGAATTTTATTGATGAATCCTTCCACTATTGAAACACAACAATAAACATTGGAGTAACATCGATTTTTTATTCTACAAAACAAATAAAAGCATAATTTCTTATAAAAATGATGTAAAGTATTATATATTCCCTGATCATGTGACTGGTTATGAAAATACATACATTATTAGTTATTGACACAAAGATTCACAGCTGTTTTGCCTTAAATAACTTATAAAATACAAATGCTAGTAATCTGAAAATCAATCAATTTTTTACAATATGACGATCCCATTGTCATCTGGTTTATTTAGCACATTGTTGAAATACTGCATTTTGGTTGGTTGATTCAATGCCTGATATTATAACTGTCACTTATGATCAACTATTGTTAAATATTTGTAAATTTTATATGAAATTGTATAAATGAATAAAATTTTCCAATAGCCACTATTACTTTGTCACATTCAGTTTTTTGCGTGAAAGAACCGCAGTCTGCGCAGAATTCTGCATTCAAAGAGTCATAACTTTGTACATTTTTCTGGGAACCAAAACATACAAAAAATGTTCATGCATATTCTGCTGCAATTGAAAAATGGAAAACTTGGATGAATACTAGATTTACAAATATTATTTAAAGTAATATAAAGCAGGCAGTATCATTTCAAACATATTCCAGAAGTCTACAACATCCTGAAATATCTACAGGGTGTCAAATATGTTTTCCTCCTTATTAGCTTTAACATCCACATAATGTTACATAAGTTCATACTTTTGAAATTAAGGGGTAAAACATATTTATCTGACACCCTGTATTCAATATTATGCACTAAAGAAATATCATTGGAATGCTTATTGGCCTTTCAAGTTTCAATTTATTGTCAAATCTCTTCCTTATTTTATCATCTACAATTTTGTGCCAGATGTAATCGTCATTTAAAATCTCAGGAATGGTTCCTGTTGGGATTTCCTCCTTTGTTTTTCCATGGCTGTCTTTATTTTCTGTCTCCATAGTAACAAGTAATGTCATGCAAAACCCATCATTTTCCGCAATGGGTTTTCCACGATGTTCAATGGTCAATACAGTCACTTGTTTTAAGTATTTTGTATGTCCCAATATACCCTGAAAAAATAAATGAATATAGATTATTATAAAATAAACAGTTTTTAATTTCTATTTCATCCATTTACCAAGACCAAGTGCTTGCACAGAAATGAACATACAATAAATATTATACATGTTAAAATCTATTGTATTTCTTTGGATATTAGAAAGAAAGGTTTTGGATTTTTAGAAAATAGGTCCAGAATGAAATTGCATGAGACAAAAAATCAGAAATTGACACTGGGAAAAGCTCTTCTAGATTTAATTCGATGATCCTGTGTTCCTTTACGGTGTCAATAAATTCATGCAATAATATATGTTTTGTTATGTTTGGATTTTTAGAAAATAGCCTCAAAAACTACATACGAGACAGAGAGTCAGAAATTGATTTAAAAAAATTGCAATCTCTTTAATTCCACAAACCCATGCTCCTTTAACAGTGACAATGACTCAGTACATTATAAATCTCTCTGATGCAACAATCCTGTACTCCTAACAGTATAGATGACTGAATACAATACTTGCCTCGTATATCCTATAGATTGGCACTAGCATTGACTTGTCTTTATGTGATATATGACCTATTGGGAAATGTGAGTTATCTCCTTGTCGGGTAATCACCAATATGTCTCCTCTGGAACACAGAAACACCATATTGTTAGAAAATTATATATTTGTTGCTCTCTTGAGTTGTAGACTATTGTGATTCTGTACATGAGACTTCAAACCTGTAAGAGCTGACTCAAAATAATTGCTATCTAAGTCAAGCAGGGACGCAACTCAATATTTTCCAACAATGGAAATGCAGAATGTCAAAATATTTTCAGACATTAATTACTGAATATAAATTCAAAATCAGTTAATTTAAAAAAGGTTGGAACCAATATCTTGTGTGTTTTTGGATTATTTGTTTGGAAATAAGACCAAAACCCGCAATCCAAATTCTGAAGTGAACAAAATGGTGGCTGTTTGAATTCAAATTTTGTAATCACAACATCTCCATTTATGGCACAATATCAAGTTGAAACCCTGGGAGCCAATCCTCCTTGTATTTAAGTTATCATTGCCTAAGTCTTGCATCATGTGTCAGGACCCTGTATCCACTTCACATCCAGATTTGTGGACTCATGGAGTTGAGTTGACAGGGGATGTCACAAGAGCTTGCAGCCCCATTCAATGTACATTTAAAGTTTCTCAGAGACAAAACATAAATTGTTCTGCTTACAATGTGTATCCTATTCAATGCTGCCTTTCCCTTCCACCCCTAAATACAAATAAACAGAGATCAAGTACTGTCATCCTCCAAACACAGGCCTCCAGAACTAGTACCCAATTCTTCCAGAAGAAGGAGGTACTTGTTCTGGAACTCTGTGTTTGGAGGATGAGTACGTATTTTGATCTCACTTACCTGCTTTTATCACAATAGAGTATAACAAGTCTGATGAAGAGGAACTTGTGAGGTACACATATGGGTAGAATATCTGTGTGTCTGTCCTGCCTGTCTGCCTTGAAGAACTCTAGTCCTAGGTCTATCAGTGGTTTTATATCATTGGCCCTAAAGTTGATGAGAATATTGTTTTATACATTCATTGAGGTTCTTGTGAGGTACACATTTGGTTAGAATATGTGTGTGTCAAAAACAAAAACATTTGTGCAACATCTTCAGAGAAGATGGAGAATCAATTGATCTATTTTTCAAGTGTAACAAGGATTGACATCATATTGAAATCTGGAACATGCATTTTGACTCATGTTTTTGATCCCATTATCAGAAATTCTAAAGGATAAAACTCAAATTTCATTTTCATATCAGGGGGATAACTAGTTTCATATGTGCAAATCTATAGAAGTATAGGTAAGGGGGTTATGGAGATATCAGCAGGCCTGTCAACTTGGGAACACCTAACATGAGTGACTTGGAAATGTTGAACACCTCCCCTCCAAATAGGGGTAGGTACGAAAAAATTCGAACTGAATGCGTGACATATACGTAATTCGCGTGGAAAGTCCGAACGAAATGCGTACGTTTTTTTTCGGCATTCGTACTTTTGATGTGTAGACGAACTTTTTTATAAATTTTTCTACAGAAATATTTTTGCTTGACAATTACCAGGTAAAATGCGTATTTGCGTGACATTTTCTGTCACGCAAAAATAACTGGCGTGACTTCAAATTCTTCAGCAAATGCGTGACAAATATGCAAATTGCGGGACAGTTGACAGGCCTGTATCAGGTGACAAAGTACGATCTATTTTTTATGCCTCCCCCCTCCCCGGTAGACATGTACTGTGGGTTATACCTTAAAGTAATTCTTTATGCCTAATAAACTAAGACCAGGAATCTTAAAGTAAGACATGGTACCTTAAAGTAAAACTGTGCACCTTAAAATAAGGCCCTGTAGTACACCTTAATGTCAGACTGTGTATATTCAAAGTAACACATAGTATAACTTAAATTACCTTAAAGTAAGCCCAGCAGCTGTTCCAAAGTTGATTTCCTCAAGTGTACACCATTTAGCACTAAGGGATTCTTGATCAGGAGTCTCTTTCAAACTGCCTCCTCCAAACATAAAATGGATGATATCAATACTAAATTCTTGTCATTGGGTTAACTGTATATTTTCATTAACTGAACTCTGTATCTACCTGAGGGCATCTCTTTTTGAAATTTTGTTTTATGATTTATATCCAAATGAACAATACCTAGATATAAATGATACAGATTTATGGATCAAATCTTAACCATCAAAGCTTCATACTGCAGTAATGCTAGGAGCTGTGCTCAGCTGTATAAGCAAGCACAGCTGCTAAAATGCAATGATATGAGAGACATTAGCTTTGATCGGGACAATTATTCATGTTTCAAAGTCCCTTGCTTTCCAATTCATTATTCTGTGACATCCCCCTGGAGCACCCATCCCCTTTTCAACATTGTTATACTAAACAGGTACCTGTTACTTTACCAGCCAAAGTGAATCTAAACCAGGAGCTACTACCAGCCTCTACACAAAGGAGGGTTGTTGTGCTGATCTTGAGTCCTGTCTCCTCCAACACTTCTCTATAGACAGCCTCCTAGATATAGATAAATGGAGGTTATTCATGGGAAGGGTCTGTATATGGGTTTTACCTCTCCACAGTCTCCTAAATATATGATTAAATGTACAGTAAAAGCTGTCTGGGTGAACACTTCTCTGTAGTGAACACCTGTGTTTAGTGAACACCACTTCACATTTTACATTGACTTCTGTATAAAATCCTCTCTCTGTAGTGAACACCTGAACACTTTTTTATAAGTGTTCACTATTTACAGGTTTGTCTGTACTATATAGTAATTCTGAATCCTTATTTTCAATAGTGTAATATCATGCTGTGTAAGGTTAACAGTATATTCTAGGGAGTAAACAACAGCTGCCCAAGCACTCCAACCATATGGAAATGGCGATTTACAGAGAATGCAGCCTCTACACTGAAAGATTTTCCAGAGATGATTTACGCAAAACTACCTCAAGAAGGTAAGATGACAAGCCTTAATAGGAAATGCACTTACTTCAATAGTTTCATTGAGTTCCATCCTACCAGCTGGGAGATACCACTTTCCATAACAGGACTGCTTGGCTTCCTGCATTAGCAATACGCGGCCCTTCTCATCAAACACCAGACCAACCTAAATACCAGTATGCAAATTTGACATTGACCTTTAATCATTGGCAATGGCAATGACATTCTAAATAAATGAGATCATGTGTAACAGTTTCACTTATTTTATTTTCAGTGATTGATAAATTTAAACGATCAAACTTTTCTCATTTTTCTAATTTTACTTCACCAAAACTGATGAACTAAGATAAGTACACCTCCTTCCTGAAAACATCACTCACACAAAGTTAAACACAGAATGAGGATACAAAAAATCATTTATTAAGTTAACACAAAACAATCTTACCACAATGTAACAAACTGTCCTCTTGGTGATAGGCTTGAAGGATTCTAAAAAAGAAATAAGACATTGAATAAAAGAATATTATAATATATGGGTCATTAATAAAAGTTTGCACCATCAGAAATTGGTCTAGATTTGAGTTTTTGAGTAAGCATAATTATAAATAAAAGGCTATATTGAAATTAATTATTTACTTCTTAATGAATGGACATTTTTTCTTATACATTTTGAAACATATAATGAGAATCCTCTGGTTCATTTTTATACCTGCATTTTCTATTGGGAAGTCAACAAAAAGTGGGCTGTCCTCTATCAATTCCCCCTGAAGTAATGCTCTGAGTTGCTGGTCGACTTCCATCATATTTAAATGGAGACTTTACGGGAATATCCGACTGCTATTCCATCTAACAACGCAATCAGCAAAGAATCTAATAGCTACCTGCATCCAAAATTTGTCTTAGAATCATATAGTAATCTTCCTACACATATATATATATATACTGATATTCTGATACATACATGTAGGTAGCTGTAAAGTAATGGTTAACAGAAGGCAATCAACCATTGTACACCCTGGAAAGGAAACCAAAGGAATACTATATCCTCTACAACACGGTTTTAGGTCGAAAAGGTCATGTGAGACGCAGCTTATTGAGTTCTATCATGATCTTGTTTCAGCCAATGATGCCAACAAGCAGATAGACGTTATCATAATGGACTTTGCTAAAGCCTTTGATAAGGTCTCTCACCGTCATCTTGCTTATAAGCTTGACTACTATGGCATCAGAGGACAAACCAATGCCTGGATCTCTGACTTTCTGTCTGATAGAACCCAGAAAGTCAGTGTGGATGGTGCTTCATCTGAAATCGGACAGGTAACATCTGGCGTGCCACAGGGAACGGTATTGGGACCGATATTATTCCTGCTGTATATTAACGACCTCCCAGATACTCTACAACATACAACCCTCCGATTATTCGCTGATGACAGCATCATCTACAGAGAAGTTAAGACACCACAAGATGCCACTCTTCTGCAAGAAGATCTGAATGCAGCTGTAGAATGGGAGAAAACTTGGCTGATGAAGTTTCATCCTGACAAATGTACTGCATTGTCTGCCAAGTTGAATCCCAAAATCTACAAGTATGAAATGAGTGGACACACCTTGGAGCATATACCATCTGCTAGCTACCTTGGTGTTACCTTACAAGACAACCTCAAATGGAACCAGCACATAGACAAGTCTATATCCAAGAGCAACCAACTTCTTGGCATGCTGAGAAGACACCTGTGGAAGGCCCCTCGCCACACAAAGCAGATGGGTTACTTTACTCTAGTAAGACCAAGACTGGAGTATGCTGCTGCTGTATGGGATCCACACACCCAAACCCACATAGCTGCACTAGAAATGGTCCAACGAAGAGCTGCACGCTATGTGATGAATGACTACAGCCGTTACAGCTCAGTGACAACAATGCTGAATACACTACAATGGACACCACTTGAAACGAGGAGACAGCAACAACGGTTGACGATGATGTTTAAGATCAAACAACAACTTGTTGCAATCCAACCAGACACATACCTCATGCCTCTCCAGCGCAGATCAAGGACTTCAAATAGTGAGAGCTTCCAGAGGTACAGTTGCAGGAAGGATGCAATGCTCCATTCCTTTTTCCCACACACCATACCTGAGTGGAATATACTACCTGACAGCATTGTATTGGCAGAGAGCTTAGACCAGTTCAAGACTAGTCTAAGGGCTCACTACCTTACACCCATGCCTTAATCTTATACTGTCTTTTAACCTATTGTTTTAGCTTTTTATTACCTAACACTGTTTTTAGCTCATGAACTTGTGTTGATGTTCATGTTTTAACTTTCTCGTACTAACCCGCGATATAATGATCAGTAAAATTGATCAATCGTGTATCCAAATGATGATGAAAGCCCCCGGGGGAAAGCATAGAGGATGATAGGCCACTGATCCACATAAATTAATAGTTACAATTTTTAGTATGTAGATTGTCATATACTGTCTCCTAAAACCAAACAGAAACTAAATCAGTGTTAACTTTTGATCTAAAATATTCAATTCAAAATTCTATCATTTTGAAAATAATTGCAACCTGAACTTACTCTTCAATTTAGAGTTGTAATATCTTTCTAGAGTATTGACAACACAATGAACTTGTTCTTGAAGTCATCAGCAATACTATGAATTCAATTAAAATGTGATAGATACTCTGTTATCTAACTTATTCTAATAATTTCAACTCAGAAAAATTATTTTTGTTTATATTTATTTTTACTGGTCGCTCTTCAAATTAGAAGGTAAAAACTGTATTTGATACATCGGACATTTTGGAAAAAATCACTGTTGTTCAACGTTTTGTGAAATAATCTGGCGTTTTCGAGCACTATATATACAATAAATATGTACTTGGATATCTGATACTTACAAAGGCAGGTAAGTGTAGACATTATGAGCATTTTCAAGCTGAGTAATTTGCAGCCAAAAATTGCTAGTTTTCAATTTACTCTATTATCGCCCACTTAAAAATTCATGAAATTATTGTTTTGAATAAATGTCCATATTTCATATTTTTTGGGGACAATAGATTTAATTTTGAGCTCTTTTGTTGTTCTTTCGCCTATTTATATTTCCCCCATATTTAGATTATCTGATTTTTCTTTTAGCACAGTATCTATTCTTGAGATGTAATCTGAGCCAACTATCAAACATGTCAGAATGAAAGTATCTGACTTCAACTTTTTTTCGAAGCATTGTTCAGGTCAAAACCAAAAAATGACTGAATGGTCAAAACTTATAATAACTTACTTGTCAATCTGAACACAGTATGTTGTATCAGAGATTTAAAGGCAGAATCAGATCTATGGGTAGACTATATCCTATTTAGTCTGAATTATATTCAGACTATAAGGCACCTATGTTAAAGTTTGGCAATTCTATATATTTGTTTACATAGGAAGTGCTATTCAAAATGGCCGATTGGGTAAAATTAATTTGCACATTTGTTACTTCAACTAGCTTTATTTCCACTTGACAATATGCTATGTTACTTTTTATTGCATTTAATTGTACCTTACTATTTAATTGAAATTTTGTAATGTTTATTTTATTGAAAAAATGGTTCCTCCAATTGATAATTTTGTGCAAAAAATTTCACTGCAATTTCCACAGGAAAGTAGTACATCATAACAGACTGACTTCTAGTCAGTCTGTTGGATACATACTAGATCTATGGGGGTGAAAAAATTACAAGCAATGTGTACAATTGACCTACCAATCTATTCCTTACACTCTCAAATACAATATCTCATAAAAGATTCACGCTACGTTTTAAATTGGTGAAGTTATAATGGATTCAAAGTGCAAAAATGAATGACAAATGTTTAAATTCTCCCAAATAATAATAATGGTAAGAAAAATAATGTTATTGTAAATATCTTTAGTTTTACTGAAATAAAGTATGCACTTTGGTGATTTGAAGAAAATAGACATGAAAACAAATGCCATGAGCCAGAAATATTCTAATACTGAAACAATTTTTTGTTGCGCTGCTTGCTAGATCTGATTCTCTCTTTAATCAATAAACAAGAAGAAATTGAACTTGATCTCAGTATTTTCCATGGGTATATAGGTATATGTGTATCAGACTTGACCTGTGATTTGATTTGTTAAAAATTGAAGAGAAGTTCATTTTTGTGCCAAATCTGAAAAATCTTCCGCATCTGCATTGAGTAACCACAAGTTCCTTCTTTGGCAAAATATTACAGTTAAAAAATTTTACTCGAAATTTGGAATGAGATAACATTTCAAAATATTGATGGAATTCGACAAAGTGCCTACTTATGCTCACAAAGGATCATATTTTACTGCTCAAAGTGGCTGAATTTACACATTTTTGGCATCCCAGATGCTACCTTCTGGTGACAAATTCTGACACAATGATGAGTTATATGGCATATGATAAACATCTAAAGAACAATCTAGATATACAAAAATATGCTTTTAAGAATAATCATGAATTTTGCCTTGAATAAATATTTTTCCTTGGAATTAAGTGTTCACATTATGGTCGTGTGACAAATTATTATTCATTTTGAATTTCAATTTTTGCACACAAGCTTGGTGCTGAATTGAGGGCAAATCGGAAATTGGGTGGTCGGTTATTAGTATAAATTGTGTCTAATTTTATCATATAGGGCTACACATTAAACATATCATGTAGAATGATCAAGTCTGTGTTGTGATTTTGCAATATGTTATGTTGTATAGTCTCATTCCAGCGTTTCATAATGTGTGGTGTGGGAACAACTCACACTTGTCTTAGATTCTAATACAGAAAAAATAATTGTAGATCTAATAGTTAATTGATTTATTTATCTCAATAATGGTAATTGATTTTCTTAGACTTTTCTTTTTCTTTTTGATTCAATATCCAACATTCAGTAGCTGCTGGCTAATTATTGGATTTACATGTATAATGGTACATGAAAAATGGCAGACCTTTTCCATGCTGGAAATTAATATATAGTCTTGGTTTTTGCTTTAATTTCCACTAAACCCTGCCCCCTTTCGGTACATCAAGGAAGTTATGATATATTGGTCAGATAGACGATGTCGTACTCGCAGGTTGTAGGTAGCAATGTGTCCAAGCAAAAATAGGATCAACTTATTGCTAATTTTGAAAAAGTATAATAGATGTCATCCTCAATCTAGCCAATATATCCTGGTTTCCTTGATGTACCAAAAAGTTGCAGGATTTATTGGAATCGTCTATTTGTCTTCATTCTTTTCCATATTTTCATTGTTCTATATTTTCAGATTTGCGACTGTACTTTGGAGCTTTAAGATGGATGAGTTTAACAAAGAGCTGTTTCCAGATGGACCCTTTGACTTCTGTAAGCTTAATTACTCTATAATTACCTGTACCGGTATATAACACCTGCAGGTCTGTAGCCAGGGGGTCAAAAATTCTTTCAAAATCATGCAGTTTTTCCCCTTTTTAGACCTTTCCAGTTAATTTTGGCCATAATTGTCGAATTTGAACTTCCAATATGGGCCTGCACTGGCACAAGAAATTAAAGTGGGGATCAGTCAAGGGGAAAATAATTGGAAGCATACCGAATTGATATTTGTTTTTATCGCACCCTAAGGTGTTATATTGTAATCAGTTTGCCGGGCAGTTTGGCGGGCGGGCGTCCCAAATAATCTTGTCTATAGGTTTCCAGCCAAACCGTTTGAGGGATTCATTTGAAATTCTCAGGGATGTTTCTACCTATAAAAGTTTAGAACTGATTAGTTTTTCGGCATTCTTGGTAAATGTTAAGGTGGCCATTTTGTCCTAAAATCGTGTCTGTGAAGGCTTGTTTTAATAAATAAAAAAGAATTTCCCATTGAGAGCAATGTTAAATTAAAACATTTTTTTAGAAATAACTAAACGGTCAATCTTTCCAATTTTCACATATTTTGTATATTTACAATTATTATTTCAGTTTATCTTTTACCAGGATTTTTTTCAGGAAAATCTGAATTGTAGAAAAAAAGCTGATATACTGAACTGTGAAGTAATACCTTAAAATGTGTCTCTTGAGGGTTGTTTACAGGTTTCATGGATTCATGCAAAAATTTTAGAGATGTTTCTATGGAAAGTTTAGAACCGATTAGTTTTTAGGCAGTCTGGGTAAATGTTAAGGTGGCCATTTTGAATTTTCCATCCCGTAAAGTGTATTCTTTTCAAGTTTGCAATTCTGTTCACCCTGTGGCTTGTTGCTATTTTGATAAAATTGTTATATTCTTAAATATCATTAAATTTGTGCCAGTGTCTAAAGTAGTAGTGTGATAATTACTCACTGAATAGGTAACATCATCCAGTGCATAGCTTCGTCAAGTTGACTCTAGTTTCTAGTTGGCACATTGGAAGTTTACTCAGTGACAAATTGAATGAATACTTGACTTCTCTCGACTCACATCCTTTATTGCTTTTACACATACCCAATTTTACACATACATGAGCCATTTACTCCCATTGTGTGTTGAGCCTGGTTGATTTCATCAGTTGTTCAGATTTAATGTTATTCAAGTAAAACTTCAAATCATCAGTATTAAATGAATGTACCTTTTTTGTTTTTCCAGCTAGCGACTCGGATGATGGAACTGGAAAATTGAACTTTGACTTTCCTCACCATGAGTTGGAATCGGCGAAAGGTGAACTCTCCACACCAGAAAAGAATGACCTCCACAGTCACCTAGATAGCCTAGACACAGATTGGATCATAGATAATATCGAAGCAACTGGCAGTTCGATGCCACAAAAGCCACCAACATTGGATTGGTTAATGGAGCCTGCTACGACAAAATCCCAAGCTTCTGATTGGTTGTTCCAACATTCCCAACACCCAGCAAGTTCTAAGGAAGCTGACTTTTTGTCAGGAAAAACTGAACAACACACCTCAAAAACTAAAGAGCCTGGTTGGTTTATTGGTAAATCAGAGCATCCAATCACAAAGCTACCAAGTCCTAATTGGATGACAGGAACTAGTGCTGGAGTGAATCCAAAGGAGGATGATTGGCTGAAGGAAGGACCAATACAATCGCTTCAAAAGTCAAAAGATTCTGATTGGCCAAAACATAACATCGCAAGTACAAAGACTGAATCTGCTTGCCTACTTGAAAAGGGCGAACAGTCATTCTCCATGTCTAAAGTGTCTGAATGGAAACCAGAAAGAGCCCCTCCTAAAAACTTGAAATCTCCAGAATCTCTGCCAATACCAGTGAACACATCTCCCGTGACAAAGAAAGAGCCAGAGTGGTTCAAACAAAGACCTAAACAAACTTCAAGTATTTTCAAGTCTAAAACATCTAGACAAAAATCAAAAAATCCCATAAATAAAACAATAGAAGTACCCCAAGATGCTTTCTCTATAAGCCATCTAGATGAAGACACTGATTGGTTAAATCAGAAACAACATCAATCTTTCGACCAAATGCCTCACTGGAAACCTTTAAAGAAATCCCCTGATTGGTTAAAAAACAGTGCAAGCCCACCCCCGAGTGCAATCCAAAAACCTGATTGGATAACAAAAACAGATTTGAATTCTCCTCCCTTGGATGTGAGTAATAAACTAAAAAGGACAAAATCTGTTCCTAATAAACGTAAAAAATCGCAAGAAGATCCAGCATGGTTAACTGATCATGTAGGCTCTTCAGACTTGGTGAAGAGTTCATCTAAGAAGCCTAGAAGACGTTCTCAATCAAAAAAGAGTACAGAATCTCAATCACTCACCTCACCCATTCAACTATCATCAGCTGCACCATCTGACTCTAATATTCAACAGAGTGAATCAAAATCAACAGATATAGCATCAACACCTCCCATCAAAGAGGAAGTCGATCTGACTTTTGATCCTATAGATGTATTAAAGAAAATGGCTGATGACTTATCCTCAAATTTGTCCCCAGCCTCAGTTCCAAGGACCCCAGATTCTAATCTTGTAAAACAAGAAACTGAATCAGAAGTTACTGAAAGCCCTATTACAAAGAAAACTGTTCACCAGGATATTGATAATAACATTAATGAGGATAATGTTAATGATGTTTTTGAAGCAATATCCTCAGATGATGATCTCCATGAGAACACTATAGAGGATGTAGATGAAGCCGACCAGGGATCAATGAACGACGACTATACATGTAATGTATGTAAGTTTACATTGGATACCAAACAAAACCTTGTCGATCATATGAATATCCATGTAGATATGGTTAACCTTAAGTGTCAGATGTGCCACAAAGTATTCAAACAATCTTCAATATCACGCCATATGCTCACTCATACTACCTACAAAGAATTTGCATGCTCCATATGTGGGAAAAAGTTTCGCCAAAGTGGAGGTCTTGATCGCCATATGAAATCTCACACGTGTGAACGACCTCATAAATGTGAAGAATGTAACAAAACATTTAAATTCGCCAATGATCTCCTTCGTCACTCGTGCACTCATACTGGCATCAAACCATATGAGTGCAGTGAATGCCATAAGAAGTTTGCCCAACTTGGACATCTCAGAAGACATGAGAGAACTCACACAGGAGAAAAGCCATTCAAATGTAGTGAATGTGACAAAACATTTGCCCAATCTAGTGTACTTGAAACTCATAAACTAGTTCACACAAAACAAATGCCCCATACTTGTACAGATTGTGGCCAACATTTTAGTCGTGTCCATCATCTGCGTTTTCATATAAAAAGTGTCCATAATGGTGAGCGTAATTTTCGTTGTCAGATTTGTCCACGATTTTTTAGTGACAATCGTAATTTGAAAAATCATCAGAAGCTCCATGAAGGTAACATAGGTATAAAATGTGATGCATGTGGGGGGCTTTTTAGATTTGAACATAATGTAAAAACACACCATAAAGATTGTGTACAATGGCTGGCAATTCATGGTCCAATAGAAAATAATGAAGAAGACAAACCAATATCTCCTCGAGCCAGCATTTTAGCAAAAAGGCGCAAATCAAAATTAAAGTCAGAAGGTGATTGTGAGTCAGAAGAGGTTCTTCCCACAAAAGTAAGAAAATGTGTCGCTCAAAATAGCTCAAATGAAACAAAACTTGGAGTGGTTCCAAAAGAGGAAGAAGTTGTACATGAAAATCGTGGCAATATAAATAGCCAGACCAAGTTTGAAGAAAACACAGACGACCAATCAACCACATCCCTCCATCAATCAACTGCAGAAGAATCAGTTATTGATGAGATTGGATTACCAAATACTGAAAGCTCAAAATTAGAAAAACTAGATAGTGTGGAAGGAGAATGCCATGCTGATGAACTTAAGAATATTGACATCAGTGAAAACACAGAGATCCAAAAAGTAAATGACATATCCACCATAATTCCTACATCGATGAAAGAAAGATCTGATAGATCTAGCATAGACTCTTCAAAAGAACTTGAAATAGATGAAGGTGAACCAAACGAAGCTGCACGTAATGAAAGTGCAATTATTGAAAATGCAGCAGATGACATTGAGATGGCAAATAAAACAGCTGAAAATATGAACACAATTGAAGATATTACAGAAGAAATTCCAATACAAGAAACAATACAAGAGAAAGTGAAACGCAAAAAGAAGAAAAAGAAAAAGAAGAAAAAGAGAAATGATATCGAAATTCATGAGGAAAAACCAAGAATTATCCTGAAACTCAAAAACATATTCAAGAATGCAATACTCAAGCCTGCTGAGATAACATCACACTCAGATGATGATGGTGCTTTTGATAATAATGACGAGGACATAATTAATGAGTCAAGCGATGAAAAAAATGATAAATCTGAAGAAATTCCAAGTGAAACTACATTGATAGTACAGGAATCTCCCCCCAAAGATCTCCTAATTGAAAATCATTCTTCGGTCGCGCCAAAAACCAAGAAATCGGATTTACTGAATCAGCAAACTCCTATTTGCACTTGTGATGAATATGAAGTGTTTGGGGAATGTTCCTGCCTAGAAAATCAAGACAAAGATGAACCAAAATCAAAAAAGAATAGAAAAAATGATTTGAAATCAAAAGTCAAGTTGCCTAAAGTTGAATCTGTTCAAATTAAGAAAACAGTGAAAACCAAAAAGGTTGTAAAAAATGAAAAATCAGTTAATCATAGTGATGTTGACAAACAGCTGAAAACAGAGAAGAAAACGGTAAAAAAGTTATTGGAGCAAAAGCGCAAAATAACACCACCTGAGAAAATAAAGTCTAAAAATAACATGAACAAAGAGAAAACTGAAGTGGTCGTTAAACAACCAACTGGAAGTGCAATTAAGAAAGAGGAAAAGATACCACCTAGAAAAGACTTACAAATATCTATGGCTTCTGTTCAAGAGAGATCTAGTCCTGAACCCAAACAAGTCCCTATGCCACAAACCTCAGACATTCCTACTGTCATCCAGCCTGAAGTTGAAACATCTTCAAATAAGGATGAACCAAAGAAAGAAACTCTAGAGAATGTAGATGTAAAATCTGAAGACAAGAAAATAGTAAATAAAAGTGGAGAAGGTTCGATTCCAGGACAACAAAGTAGACGTTTAAGTAGTCCCAATATGAAACTGCTCACCAAAGAAGAGAAGGAGAATAAAGAAAAGCAGATAACGCCAAGAGACAGAAAACCTAGCAGCACCATTTTAATAGACCCATTTGCCATGCCAACACCAACTATTGAACGTAAAGAAAACAAATTAATGGATGATCCAGTGAAAAGGAAGTTCAACACTGCAATTGTGATCGAGCCCACTGTAAATCCTGAGGTTAAGGAACCAAGAGATAGATCAATTAGTGAGTCATCAACTGAAGGAAAGAAGCTCCAGTCCCCTCCAATACTGAATGAAAGTCCAGTATTTCCTTCAAAGAAGTCAAATAGTCAAGCTCCCATTGAAGGACAGAAAAAGCGTCGAAGGATTAATTATGAAAAGCATATCAAGTATAACCGACCTTACTTAGAGACTAAAGAAAAGTATGAGAAAAGTAAGACTATAGCAGAACCTACTTCCCCTACACCCCAAGTCAAACAAGGACCAATGATGGGATTTGATGCAAACTTTTTTGCTGCAATGTATACTAGTCGTAAACCTGGGGAAGCTATCGATTCAACTTCAAAGCAATGGGCAGAGTTTGTAAATGTTCGCCCAGAGGTTAAAAAACCTGAACGTCATGAAAAGCGAAGAGATCATCACCGTAAAAGGGAACATGATTCACGTCATCATGGTCACAGACATAGACATCGAAGATCAAGTGATTCTTCACATCATCGACATAAACATAGAAGTCATCACCGTCACAGGAGTAAATCACATCGAAGATCTGGTGAAGAAAGAAAGAAACATCAAGAAGAAGCAGAGGAAGTTGAAACTGAAGATCCCCAGGCTGAAGAAGTAGATGCAGCTGAAGAGAATATTGAAGAGAATACTGGTGAGGAGAGCCAAGATTATGGTGAACCACCTGAACTTGAACCAGAAACATATGAGACATCAGCTAGTTCTAGCATAATATCATCTAAACCAAGGAGATCCAAGAAAAGAAAGCCAAAGTATACTGATGATGTGGAAGAGATTGACAACTCTGTTGAAGGGGAGGTTCAAAATGATGAGGACCTAACTAATGATGGTGATCACAACGAAGGTGCTGACATCCCAATTGAAGAAACAGATCAACAAGAGGATGTTGAAGAAAATGAAGCTAAACGTAGACTGAGATCTAGAAAAGATATAAAAGTCCCAAAAGATCCATATGAACAATATGTAAGTGAAGCGGCAGAAGCTTCAAAGAATAAACCAGATAAAAAGGATTCAAAAGGAAAGACTAAAGCTTCCAAAACAGGAAGGACTCTTCAAGCAACAGCCTCTGTAGTTGGTCTATACAGGAATGAATCTCTTGTAAAGCCTAAACCAACAGATGAAGAAGGAAATTCAGAAGATGCTCCAAAGATGTCATTAGAAGAAGTTAAGGTTTTGATGGAGACTCCTGATCGCACTGACTTGCCAAAATCAAAATGTGCTGAATCTCCTTATGGTCCATATACCATAAGGACTCATCTAGTCAAACCTGTTGATAACACTGAAATCAAAGAAGGTGATGGGATGACAGTTGATTCTGAACACCATCAGAAATTACGCTCTTTGGAGAGTGTGAAATGTAAGTCTACTGATGTGTTCCTTGGAACTAATACTGATGGGGCAAGTACACTGAACATGTCTTTTTTGTCCACTCCTGCTAAGTTTAACTTCAAACGTCCAGGCCTCACGATTAACCAGAACTCAATTGTTGACAAGTTTGCGGAAAGATTTAAACCTTTATCCCCAGACAGTGAAAATGTGAATCATGCGCCTGTAAATACATCCAATGATTCTAAAGAGTTATCTGAAAATGAGGAAAGTCAATCTGATGACACTAAAATAGTTGAAACACCCGAACAGTCCTCATTTGACATTAAATCCAACGAGGATGATAAAGATTTAGTCCATGATGAGACAAAAAATTTAAAAGTAAAGATTGTTGAAAATAATCATGAAAACCTAGTCGAAGATGCAAATGAATCTGTTGAAAGTGATTCTGGAGAATTGGAAATAGTTGAAACAGATATTGCCGATCCACAAGATCCAGAAACAGTGATTAGTGAACAAAAACCTGAAGTTAGCTCTGAAAGCAAACCCCAACTAGCAAATCAAGAAATACAACTGGATGTAGACAAGATTAAAAATCTTGATGACATTACGAAAAAGGTTGATATGGATGTGGATCATAACAAAGATGATGATTCTGATGACGAAGATGAAGCTGATGACTCATCTGATGAATATTCGTCAACAGATGGTGATTACACTGGCGAATCTGAGGACGAGTATTCCAATAATTCAGAAAGTGAAAATGATGAAGAGGAAGATGAGTTGATCATAGATGAAACACTTTTCCCTCATCTGAATAAAGTAAAAAGCAAAAACTTGGAGATTATACAAAAAGTTAGAGAACGTTTGAAAAACAATACCTCAAGTTCCCAGTTACCACTTACTCCACCATCAGCCACAGAAACAGGAACTGAACATAATAAACCAAACAATGGAGAGGATTCCAACGATGCATCAGAATCTACAACTCAACACGGTAAAGAGGATGAGGCAAGCTCCAATGAAACAACACAACCTGGAGTTCAATGTGATAAACAGCAAGATGGGACAGGATCCAATAAAGCAAAAGAACATGTAGCTCAAATTGATAAACTGAAAGATAGGTCAGGGTCCAACGAAGCAACTGAACTAAAAACTCAACGAAAAACACATCAACAAAATGCAGAAATCAAGAAGGCAAATATACACTCAATATGCAGTCATTTAAGCGAAGTAAAGTCTCATAAAACTTCCGAGGTTAATTGTACGAATCAATATAAGAATGAAACCAACTCTCTATCAAGTGACATTCTTTCAAAAGGTACTTTTCAAAGTAATCCTCTTTTACCTGATAAGAAATTGAGTATTGAATCGGACAAAATAGAAAGTGAATTAAAAACTGTTAAACATGATGTGGAAATAAAAGACAATCAAAAATTAACAAATCAGGATGTGAAAACAGAAACAAGTGAGAGTGTATGCTCTAATAAAGGGGAAATAAAATCAAATGAGGGTTCGGATGAAACTTTGCCCAGTTCTAAGATATCACACCGGAGGAAATCTGCGACACCCATTAAACAAAGGAAAAGTACTGATTTGAAATCTGAAATGCTGGAAATTCCATAAATACTATGTATTACTATATGTAATGCATGTAGAAATCTTGTGTCAGTGAGAATGAGATGATATACCGATATATTCATGAACTTTGAAATTCTGTACAGTAGAACCTTTATATCTGGATGCGTCTCTAATCTGAACACCTCTCAATCATTCAATGGGAACACTTATTGGTTCTGTTTTTGATCTGCCATAGACTTTTATGTAAAAAAAACTTGAAATGTGAACACCTGCCGATCTGAACAGTTCTGGTGAGTCCCTGTGACATTCAGCTTTTACTGCACATTCTTAATCATGGGTGTAATATACAGTAGTTAACAGTGGGGTAACTGTTACATAATTGTTAATTCTATTTCTCAAAATGGTGGAAGTGGTTCATTTTTATATTTAAATGGTAATAAAATTGTTATAGAAACTAGTCATCGTAACATTATCTCCCAATAACGTTAAGCTTAACTGGGACAGTTTTTAACTAATCTCTTCCATGTTTTATCATTTTGGTTTGATAAGTTTTGTCTTCTATACTAAGACATAGATCATAATCAGGTTCAAGAGAACTTCAATCTCTTTTTTTAATTTAGGACATTGTGTTTGAGCACGAAAATAGTTGTATTACAAGATGTGTTTGTAATTGTAAATATTTCAAGATTGTTTTAAATGATTAAAAAATATGATGTGTTTTGGTGTGCCTCTAGCATGTTAAAAAATTGTGTATGGGCATAGCAACTTAAAGCTAGAGCACTTCAGGATCTTTAAAATAATATTTATCTCACATGTAGTATGCGTTTCATATAATTTGATGTAGTAGTTTCACTGGTGATCCACTCGATTACGCTGGTTACCAAAACTGTTTCGGTAACAAAATGTCAGAACATCGAAGGTACAATTTTTCTTTTTTCCTTATTTCACACGTTGTAGGCAGAATTCCCACAACATTTTTATCACAAACATGCATCAGTATTCAGTATCATATGTTTAAGAAAATGTACATATTTGTGAACAAATAGTTCAGAAGACAACAGAATCGTCGATTTAATTCCTCACTTAAGTAACATAAACGGTATTTCGAAAAACAGTTAAGATCTGCACTTTTAACCCATCCTGTTATCGATGATTCTGTTGTCTTCTGAGCTATTTTTTCGCAAACATGTACATTTTCTAAAACATATGATACTGATACACGTTTGTGAGAAAAAATGTCGTGGGGATTCTGCCTACAACGCATGAAATAAGGAAAAAAGAAAATCTTACCTTCGACATTCAGACATTTTGTTACCGAAACGAACTGTTTCGGTAACCATCGTAATCGAGCAGATCATCAGTGAGTTTAATTTGTTTTCAAGATATTTGTGGTATTTAATTAAGTGGGTAATTATAAATTACAATGGGATGTTGCATGCTAATTTTTGTTTTACAAACCTCACATGTAAATAAACACTAAGATATTGTAAATGGTGTAAATAATTGTGAAAAATAAAAGATTTATTTTAAAGAATTCTATGTACAGTTTAAAGTTATTAAACTCAAGGTACCCACCCAATGATGCCATCTATTTGACATGGAAAAATATGACCTAAGTGATGGGCTGTTCTATGAGTGGACATCTTGGTGTTTTAAAAAAACATAAAATATCTGTCTATTGCTATATAATATATAGTTTTATTCCAATGTGTGTTTCTTGTATATTATAATTTATAATGAACATAGTTCAGTATTTACCAGATTGCATGTAAATATAAAGAAGAGCATAGTAAAGATGTGCAAAACTTGGTTTAGAATCCTAATCATTAAGGTAGAAATATTGTACATGTAATTAAATACAGTATATATATATGATAGGTTATATATGAGTATCACAGTCAGCGATAGAATGTTGTATGTTGAAAATACATGTAAAACAATTCAAAAACACATGTTTGTTTTTTGTGAGTATTGGAGATCTTTTTTATTAATTTGGCACTTGCTATGTAATAACAATATAGTCTTATGAATTATGCTGGAAGCAACTACAGGGTGGTCAAAAAAACTGGAAACCCCTACACCGTTTTCCTAATATCTTTGTCATTTTAAGAAATAACTTTACACATTTGTACATCATTCAATTTCCTACCGGCCTACTATATTTCATGACCATCAGATTGATAGTCACAGTGTTACAGCACTTTAAAGAACATTCCCAGTGGCCACTTTTGCGGTAGAGAAACCTGCACATGTCGTCCAAAATGTCCCTACCTATAGGGATATGGCAGAGATGGAGTGTATAAGAATGACCTCAGGACAATTGCAGACATCAAAAATGAGATCATCTGTATTATTCAGGCCATACCTGCTGAGGAATGCATTTGGGTCATTGACAACTGCAGATTTGCCTACAGTGCGATGATGGCCAAACCTACAGCATGTTGTTCAAAGTGCTGTAGAATCTTGACTATCAGTCTGATGGTCATGAAATATAGTAGGGTAATAGGAAATTGAATGATTTACAAATGTGTGAAATATCAGGGAGGAATTCCCTAAAATGACAAAGATATGAGAAAAATGCAGGGTTTCCGTTTTTTTGACCACCCTGTATATGAAGTTATTGAAAAGAAACAAATGTCCTACACTCCATGAGATCAACCCACTCAGGCCCGTAGCCAGGATTTGACAATTCCTATTCAATACATTGTATGCATTTGAAATTGATCCAGCCAAAAACAATATAAACATTCATTGTTTTATTTTGTCATTGAAACTATTTTTTAGTGACTATTAATGATACATGTGATTACATGGTAATTCCTCATATTTTAACTATCATATTGTTATTATTATTACGATATTATTGCAATGAGCCATTCAATTATTCGCCTTCATTCATTTGACATTCCGAGAGAGCTTAAGTGATCGTAACTTGGAACAATTGGTATGATCCTGTGACTGGTACACTAGGTAACTATGCAAATCACATTGGAGGGAGTTTTCAAGGCTTTGTATAAAAAACCTCCTACCTCATACCCACCTACCCACCTACGTGGAACATGATACAGTCATTGAAGGGTTCAATTTCAAAGATTATTAAATCTCAAAATAGCTCAAATTATTAACATTTCTACAATTCCGGCTTTATTTTATGACTAGACAGATGGCAGATCCATAAATAAAGGCATATGGATGCATTTTAATGTGTAATGACCCAAGGGCGCCCCAGGGGAATAAATAGCTAACGACCACGAGCATAGGTCCAACAAGCCAGTTAAAGAAATTGAAAGAAAGTGTGCTAAATTCGATGTCCCGAGTGGGAATTGAACCCAGCTTGGATGTAGTAATAACTTGCTATCAAGATTTAATAAACTAAGATCTTTAAAATTGAACCCTTCAAAGACTGTATCATGTCCCACATACGTGGGTAGGTGGGTATGAGGTAGGAGGTTTTTTATACAAAGCCAGTTTTCAATGTAGAACATTCTCTGTATGTTATCACTTATTTCAATCCATTTTATAAGCGCATGTTTGACCTCAAGTATGGGATAAATATGTGTATTCCAAGCACAAAAGTATTATATACAAAGATATAGAAAAAGATGGACATTTTTGACCCACCATGTATATAAGAAAATGACCATTGGGCACATCGAAAATTCAGATGTTCATAGACGAAACATTGTTCCCATGTAATTCATAGGGTAGTCATTTTTCCAATGGATTGTAATGTCCCACATTGTCTCAGTGTTCAATGATATCCTGGGGAATTGTGTTAGATTCAATGAGAAGCATTTTTATTAGCTCATGAGTAAGATGGTTATCACCTCTCCAATACTTGTCAGAAAGCTTGATATTTCATGTTTTGTGATGTTTCTGTTGGTATTGTATTAGAACAACCCAAATAGTGACCACTTTTGCACTTTTCCCTCTTTTGGGGGTGGAGGGATATCAGCATGACCAAACTGAAATCAAAAGCAAAATCATTAAGTCCTATTGCTTTTCTTAAAACACTAAAAAGTACCCAAAAATAATTCTGAGTAAGTGTAAGCTTGGCGAGTGTAAACGGTGATGGAAGTTGACTATTTTCCTTTCAAGATGGAGCTAGACTTTAGAAATAAGGGACACAGTGAACAATATTGTACATGAAAAATGACTGCCTTAAAATTTAACATGCCCCTTGGACATGCCTCGTACCTCAGTCATATCGTCATGCTCTTTCCAAACAGTTCCTAGATCTTTTGGGTTCCTTATATGCTCATCTCTCCCTAGCACATACATCTCAAGTGCTTTTCTCATCTGTAAACAAGATTCATTTAGATAACAATAGCAAAAGTAATTTAATTTTCAACAATCTTTATTTAAGATAGAATTTTACTGTCCATTGCGCGTGTCATCCTAAATCACGCTCTCAGATAGGCTCTTGTTGGACGAGAATCAATCTTTCTAATTCAATCGTTCAACCCTATTTTTCAAGAAAACTAGATTGTAGGAAAAAAGTGTTATCAACATTGAAACTGTACCTTAATTCTACTCAGCATTTTGTTTGCATCATACAGGATTTATTTTTGAGCATTTTAGCTAGAGGTTACAACTTTTTATTAATACTGTGAGTTAGTTCTAAATTATACCCCTCACAACACCTGAAAGGTGACATACCTGATGCGCACATCTCTGGTGAGGCATGGTCCCTATAGCGGTGCCTAGACCTGGGCAAAGTACACTTCTGATCTGATCTGTACTCTCAGCTGTCTCATTATGCTGACTGACTACAAGATATATTTTAAGAACTAATATCTGAATACTACAGTTTTGTATTGACCTTCAACATGTAACATATTTAAATACCATAATCTGTTGCCATGGTAACGAATATTGCATCAAATCTGAATGCTTTAAGAAAATGCCTATATGTTAGTGTTTTACACACAATCAACTGCCATGGTAATTGATGAATCAGTACCTGCTATGATGACTGCACGAAATGTACTATAAGCATTGACTGTTTTTGATACATCTAGTGGAACACGCATAGTAGGAGCAGATATCATGAATTTGATTGGTTGACCTTCATTGCATTTCGCCCAATCATCTCTCTTTTGGAGCTCTTGTACTTCTTCCGAGTCAATACCATGCTCAAATGTTGGAATGATCACTGCGTCTCCCTAATAATGAATGATAAGAATAAAGTACAGGTATATAAAAATGCATGATGTGAAAAGCCCTTTGTTCAAGCGAACACCTTTTCAAATTAAAATTTTGGTATAGAACCTCGACTTGCATTTTATCAGAACCTAGTAATGTGAACACCTCTAAAAAGAGAACACTTTTAGCAACATTCTTCTTACCACTAATAATTCCCCATACTTTTCCTTCCTAATGACTTCTTGGAGACGTCTCTGTAGCTGCCAGCCAAAATGCTTGCTATATGCCATATCTATGCCACCATCCATAAAACCAAAACTGTTTGCAGGTGATACCTAAATATTAGTACAAAAGAATCACATGTTACTAAAATCATCAAGTCACAAGCTATGTGGGTTTTGTATTTCAGCTCTGTTATTTGAGTCATGACCAGCCATTCAGTGTATGAGTTATACTCGTACATCATCTAACAGTCTAAAATGTGGCATTACTGAGCATTTGGAAAGTTTAACTTTGCAAATGAAAGAGCATCACAGTTAAATTCAAACACATCTCATCTACTCAAGTAATTTTTTCAACTAATTATAGATGTCACTTGCACAAAAAATGATAATTAGGAGTCATAATATGAATGATCCAATAAATTGACTGTAAAGAAATAGCCTTGATTGAACACAACTTATACAGAACAGGAATATTGATATCTTACTCGAGTCTCTAGCTTACGGAATATAGAGAAGGCTTTGGACCGAAGTAATTGATATCCTACCATACAGTCAAAACTTCTAAGAAATCACAAAAGGCAAGAACAAAAGAAAAACTGTAACCTGTTGAAACCAAAATCAACTTACAATAGCATCTGCACAGGGAGCTCTATCTTTGAAGATGTCACGGCTTTCACAAACCTGCAATGCAAATAGAAGAACAAGGTGAAAAGCTTACATGGCATTTCGATGGAAAGACTTCCATGTAGGAAGGAAATGACAAGGACATGTCACAAGGCTGAAAGTACAAAACTTTGTGAGAAGACTTGAATCTGAAATTCTGGTTACTTTGATGGATTTTGATGAACTTACTCAAGTCAATTCCTTGGGTCATTCAATCCATACACATTTCCGCCATGCCGCAAGTAGTAATCAGTAAATGATTGAATCGTGTATTATGATGATGATGATGATGATGATGTACATTCAATTGACAATACTTGTAATTTGTGACTTTTACGAAAACTACAACAATAACTGAAGTGAATACCTCCATGTTCGCATGAATTTTTTCGAAAGTTTTCTAAAGAGTAGAACACTTAGGGACTCTGTCTCCAGTCTATGACACTGTTCTTACCTGTACTCTATTTGATGCAATGTGCTCCTCAAATTCTGTTTTCCAAGCAGCTTATCCCGTTCCAGGACTATAGTCCTGTACGGAGCCCATACATTTGCCTGTACGATTACAACTTGGGAGAATTATCTACGCCCCTTCCACTTAAGAAACCTACCTTAATGCATTCTAGAACTCAAAATGTAACTTCTAATATATTGGAACCGCCGATTGTCTGGGTTAGTTGGCAGAACGAGGTATTTTTGTTTCTTATGGCTCTTTTGGTCGAAGTTCGATTAAGATGGCGGTTATAACGGAATTTCCCGAACTCTTCCGTAATAGCACGAACTTGGTTTTTCGTTACGTCACTTCCGTGTAAAATGGATTTGTCACCGGTAAGAGGGAATTTCGAAAATTTCGGACAATATTTTCAATATTTACTGCCATGTCGACATCCTATGCTCTTAACTGTATACCGAATGGTTAAACAATGTTTCTTACCGGAAACAAATCCATTTTACACGAAAGTGATGTTACGAAAAACCAAGTTCGTGCTATTACGGAAGAGTTCGGGAAATTCCGTTATAACCGCCATCTTAATCGAACTTCGACCAAAAGAGCCATAAGAAACAAAAATACCTCGTTCTGCCAACTAACCCAGACAATCGGCGGTTCCAATATATTAGAAGTTACATTTTGAGTTCTAGAATGCATTGAGGTAGGTTTCTTAAGTGGAAGGGGCGTAGATAATTCTCCCAAGTTGTAATCGTACAGGCAAATGTATGGGCTCCGTACAGGACCAAAGTCCGGGAACAGGATAACAAGCAGCTATCATTTTCTCATTCCTATCACATAATTTGAAGACAACATCTTTTAAATTCATGTCAGTTGATTCTACTGCGTCTGCCATGCTCTCTGTTATGTCTCTGAAATAAGTATCGATGATGTGGAAATGTATTGATGGCATATAGCTATGTAAAATACATGAATCATGACCAAATATAAATATGCACCAAGTTTGTTTTGATACGTAAGGAATTCCCCGTGACCTCGTTTTCGAATTTTTCGTTAGGGGTTTTCCGTAAGATGTTCCAAGGATGGCGTGATATTGTGTTGACCTATCAGTATTTTCGTAATATATGGCCAAAATAAGATCAGTGAATGCGATAAGAAACATGGGAAGTAAACCATAAAAGACTACAGAAGATATAGATATAAAAATGGAGGGTAGAGTCCCAGCTTACTTAGTGAGAGGTAAGTAATTTGTTGCAATATTTTTTTCATTTTTCATAAAATTTTTCAGTTTTTGATTTTATTTTGAATGATGAAATTCATAATTGAAGATTTTTCCATAACCTTAGGATGAAGAAAACGAAAGAAACCAAATTTATTCTAACTAATGTTTTAATTAATTAATTAGCACCTAGATCTTATGTGTCATGATTTTTTACGAAGCCCCCCACAAAATGGGCAGTGCCCTTCGTTCTATGGACCGGGGTAGGACCATTCCCATGACCTAAGTGCCGCTTTTATTAGCTTATATGGCAAATCATCAAGGCAACTGCCAAGTCGTCAAATGATACGATTGTGATTCAAGGTATGACATATCACATAAAACTATGACGTCACATATTTACTCTATCGAGCAACTAAACAAACAAATAATCTTAGCGTCACACATCTTTGTCGATTCTATATTAATATGTGACATCATTAACATGTTACCTAACCAACACCAACACACGCATTAAAGTTTGCTGTTCGTGGATCAGTTTTCTCCATCAACATATGGCCCCGCATATGGCCTTCATATTTTTCTCGTGAAATTCAATGGATAATCTTGTTTAAACTTACAAAGTTCCATTTTTTTTTAAATTTAGCATGGCATAACTTTAAGGACAATCTGTACTTTCTATTATTTTGATAACCATGAAATCGTTCATTTTTGCACAAAATGTGCTTTAGTGTACCAATGTAAATTGAGTGATCTTTTCAAAATTGAAAATATTTCTCATCATGCAGACCTGCCTTAAAGCTGTTAAATCTTAAACAAAATAACCATCTAACACAATGGTCAAATCAATCATTCTTCTGCAGGAATTTTGACTGAAGCCAGTTGTGATCTAACTCAAAGTTAATGAAAACAGTGAAAATGTCAAATACTCCAAAAGATCTTTTTTCTTCAACTTTTAATCGTGACGTGAAGGCTTCTAAAAATGAATATCTGTGAAAGCCTTTGATTGATTAAAACATTTATTATTTCAAATTTATGCATCAGCTTTTTCGAGCTAAGTTTCCACCATAAAAACTCACTCCATTTCTTCAAGGTATAACTATTTTATATCACATGCTTGTTCAGTTTGGGGGAGGTGTCTGGCGATCAGCTGATATTTGTTTATTTACTATTTATAACCTCTTTATATTTTGAATTGATTACTTGTTTATTTCTTACATTAAGTTTATATGTTGACTTTTGTTATCTCGGAACTATAAACATATCTCATTGAAAGTTCAAGCCAAAGTATGAACTGCATACCAAAGTACTTGAGTAGCCTTGAATGGGATTACGTTCATGGGCAAAGGCTGAATCTGATATGATACTGGCATTTTATCCCCTGGAGAGACCTCACATATAGAACAAATACTTCTGCAATACTATATTTTTGCACATTTAGTATGTGTTACGACTGTACATTTTGACACAGTCTAGTGTGTTTTCATCCAATATTTTGTTCTTGCTGAATTCTATGTTAATAGGCTCGTTTGTAAGGGCTATTTAATTGGTAATAAGTTGCTTTGTTTCATTTTATATGTCAGAAGTTCCAGTGATAGCTGAGTGTTTTTTTTTTTATCACACCATCGGTGGGATATAGTCGTCATACTGGTCGTGGTCGTGATCGTGGTCGTGATCGTCCCGCTTTTTGTCATCGCCGTTTAAGGAAAACTGCTCATCAGATTTTCTCCGAATTCGCAGAGATGATAGAGCATATGAAGTACTAGAGCTGATTAACTTTTGGGTGGCCATCTTGTTTTCTGGCGGCCATTTTGAAGGTTTTTTGAAAAATCTTGTCATTGCCATTTCAGGAAAACTGCTCATCGGATTTCCTGTACATGATATGCCTATTTGATGGTATGATCTCGTTCACGTCCTGTGCCTTGTTAACTGTGATTTCTATTGACATTCCTGGCTTTAAATCCCAGAGTGCTTTGAAATAGATATTATATTTTTATGTTAGTGTTTTGTCAAGGAATTAACCTCTGATAGAAGTCATCATGTGTAGCATTGAGAAAAACATGATGTGCCCACAAATTGAAAAATTATTGTTAACATATTTGTGTCATGCAGATGTCAGACTTTTTTAAAGTGCAGTATATCAAGCACTACTACCAAAGATCCAGGCATAGGAATATCATGAGCTGTCCATGAATAGATCATTCCTACATTCAATGTTTTATGAATTAATGTCAATGTGACATTCATCTGTTCAGAAATTTTTTTGTCTGATTTTTTTTAAATCTGTGCTAATATTCCTAAACTTTTGGATTCAAATTTGTGTAAATCTTGATCTAAAAACAAGGTATTTTACTTGAGAAAGGTCTGATAATGACGATTTTTTAAAGGTACCCAGTCTTATTTTTTGAGCCCACTTAAAGGCCCAGTTAACTCATATGAATGATGTGGTTAAAAAGTTTATGCTTTAACTCTTTATTGTGTTCAAATATGTAAGGGCGCTTGAAAAAATAGCTGAAGTGTTAAAAGTATCATATTAACTTAAGCATTAGGACTCAAGGAGTGTGTTATCAATCAGGAGTGCTTGAATATGATTGGAGTAGAAATCTTTGTTTTCTCAATTACACATGGGGTGATATGATATGATGCTGTGTGTACATATGCAGGGGTTGTTCAATAAGTACTGATACAAGTGCTCTTATTTTCAATTTTGTGAGGGAATCAAGATGAATTATTCAGGAATTGACGGTGATATGTGTGTCCATAGATAGACCAAATATTATGAATTTATTCTTGGCTTAAAGTTACACCAAATTAAGCATATATGAATGAGGGTACTCGGAGCAGTTTATTCCTCATCATAAGTTGCTAAAAATAAAGTATTTTACACTTTTAGTGCATGTATTTCAATGCATTAGACCATTTATGTTATCCTTTCCGATGCTTTGACTTATTGAAGGTGTTCACTAAACCTAGATGTTACCAGAGGATTTCCTTTCCTACCTGAGTGCTTGATATTGTAGGCTATTCAGTCCGTACCTACCTTTCTTGTGAGGCCAATCCGCCACCTACTAGGGTTCTATCAGACCATTAACATCAGTGTTCTACTTATTTTCCTTTTTTAAATCATTTCCTTGCACCTTTTTATCCACTTCTAGGTCTAAAACTCAGTCTTCAGGGGTTTTATTAGCAGCAGGCAACAGTCGATTTTCACCGGTTGTTTTCACTAAATGGCCTGTTGTTTTTAGGGACTTTTCAACTTTTCCATGTTAAATTCATGATTTCCAATAATTTTGCCAGTTGTTTTCATTTATTTAGTCTGTTGTCAGAAATTCCAGTGAATCCCCTGGTCTTGCAACAATCTGGAAGAAAGATGTGGACTTGAATAAAGTGATAAATGAAAAGTAAAAACTGCTTCGAGTACAACCCTCATCCATATGTTCCACTTTAGCTGTAATTTTAAAAGTACTAAAAACAAGCTCATAATTAATTCAAATTTTGTCAGTATACAAGACATACATTTACCTTTAATCTAAGAAAATTTCATCTTGATTCCTTTAGAAATAAAAAAATGAGACCATTTGTATCAGAATTTATTGAACAACCATACAAATTATTGTCAGACTTTGACTCAGTACACTAGTACTGAAAGTGTACTTTGATGGGTGCAACAGCCAAATGCTTTTTGAATATCCGCTGAATGTTCGAGTGCTTTAATTATTTTATTTGCATATATTCTGGTATCTTTGGTATATATGGAGAATTCATTAATTTTGGGATCAACAGCTTGTACTTTCCCTTGTAGTATAAGTACTTTCTCTCGAGCATTTGTTTATAAGTACTCTCTCTCAAGCATTTGTTAAAGAGAGGCTCTGATGAATCAGAATGGAAATCCTTCATGACCGAGTCATCGGCAAGTCACATCAGAAATGGCGAGACTTGATGCCTGGCTCTTATTGGTTGATAAGGACACATCCCATATGCTATATTGAGTAGTTTTCAATTTATTGACATAATTACTATTACGAAAATAGTATAATACTCTTGATAAGAAAATAGTTAGTTTATCTACATTTCATTTTTTACAACAAATATATTTACGGACCATCTGCTAAACACACATGCAGGAACTATATATGCTTTATGATCTAAAAAAGCCCTAATCCTGTTCTATAATGTCAAGGATCAAGGATATTTGCCAGGTTGTTGTTGTTTCTGAACTTTGGTACAAACCAAAAACTTTCTGAAAATAACAAAGCAAACAATTATAATATAGTTGTTGTCTATTGATAGTGCAAGTTATAGATTCTTCTGGTTTCTAATTTTTTAGTGTACATGCTTTTTAAGATCTGAGTTAGGTCCAACTGAGTCATTTTACATTTTCAATCATCTGGTCATTATATTCTGTTGTATTTTCATATTTTCAATCATCTGGTCATTATATTCTGTTGTATTTTCATATTTTCAACCATCTGATCATTATATTCTGTTATATTTTCACATTTTCAACCATCTGGTCATTATATTCTGTTGTATTTTCACATTTTCAACAATCTGGTCATTGTATTCTGTTGTATTTTCACATTTTCAACCATCTGGTCATTATATTCTGTTATATTTTCACATTTTCAACCATCTGGTCATTATATTCTGTTATATTTTCACATTTTCAACCATCTGGTCATTATATTCTGTTGTATTTTCACATTTTCAGCTTTGGTCCAGTATTCATTTTGAGACATGGTGCCAGACTTTCTCATTTTCCCAATTTTCTTCTGTTGTTAGGATATGAAAAAGTTGTTTACTTGGAGCAGTTGATTAGATTTGTCCTATTGTCTATGTTATGCTGTCTATGTCAGGTTGACTGACACATGTTAAGTTGACTGACATGGCTAATGTTCTTGTCAAATGGCAAAATGAGATTTGGTAAACATTAAAAAAAGTTGGCAGACCTTTTTTCTTTTTTAATCTCCTTCCTGGTGGTCAGAATATCAATAACCAATGCTATTTGTATCTCAAGTAC